AAACTATTAAGTGCCTACCCTGGGACTCTTGGTCACAACTCTAAGGCATCAGGCCTTCTCAGTGGGGGTGGAGGTCACTTGCTGTGAAGAGGGAGAAGGGTGGCAACCATAATGCTGTCTCAGGTGTAGATGTCTGGTGCCCAGGATGGCTGAAAAACAGGGCACTTCTGGGGCTCCTGGGCATCTTGGAGAGGGAAAGACACCTCTGGACTGGACACTGGGGAGCCATGGTCACCTGGTAGAGAGCTGCCCTGAGACCTGGGACATTGGTTCCACTTCTCAGCAAGAAGGAAGGTGGGAATTGGGCAGAGCCAGGTGCATGCACATCGGAAACCAGCTCCTGGGCTCCCTGAAGGGTTTCTGCCTCTGAATGTGACCCTATCATTGAACCTGACTCCCTGACATGATGTCCTCCAATCTGCCCTGCTAATATGAGCATGCCTGCAGGGCGGAGCTGTGAAGTGTGTGTCTTTGTGAAGGAAGAGGAGAACAGTACACAGAATAGTCTGTGGCATCAGGTGGACCTGGAATAAAATCACAATTCAACCACTTACCAGTTAAGTAACTTTGGGCAGATTATTGAATTCCTCAGAGCCTTCATTCCTCCATCTATAAATCTGGGTTAACACTTAAAGAATGTGGAAGTACATGGAACATGATAGGTATTCACTAAGTGGTGGGGACAGTGAAGGTCATCATTCTAACCTCTGGAGAAACTTGCCTCAAAGATCGTTGTCACTGCCTCGCCCCCAGCAGTGGGCCTTCGCTGCCCACTAGGTCACACTCACATTCCTCAGCTGCTTTCTCCAGATCCAGCTTCAACAGGAGTGTGTCTGCTGCCCCCACTGAAGTTCTACCACCCACACACACACACACCTCTTACACACCTCCACACATTAGTTGATACTTTGTTCCTAGAATGCCTTGTGTTCTTACTACAAAATCATGTCCACCCTTTTCTTTAAAACCTACCTCTCCAGAAAGCCCCACCTCTTTTTGATGAATATTCTCCCCACAGTCCCAAATACAGACACACGTATGCACACATGCCACAGGAGGCACTCTGACTTTGGAGCAGATGGGCCTGGGTTCAAATCTGGTTAACAGAGACCAGTCACTGGCCTCTCAGAGTCTTGATCTCCTCTTCTGTATAATGGAGGCACTTCCAATGCCTTCCCAGCAAGGTGATGGTAAGATTAATACCCAGAACTCAGGAAATATTCAATAAAAGTTAGCCTCTTCCCTGCATGTTTTCATTTGCAATGTTGACTTTCTCCAAGAGCTCTCGGGTTTCTCTGTGTGTTCAGATGAGCATCTGAGTCCATGTACCCATCTTCCCCTTTAGAACTGAGGCTCCAGGGGTGTCAGCGCTGAGCTATGGCTTGGCATATATCTGACCCTCAAACTCTGGCAGACATGGTGAGGGGAGGGAAGGAAGACAGGTCAGAAGGCAGTGGCTAAGCAGAGAGCCTGGTAATGTCAATGGAAGTGTCCAAGGAGGGCAAGGGGCACTTGGAGGGAGAGTTTGGGGGTGGGAATCAAAGCAGTCAGGGTGCTGACACCAGCTGGGTCAGCTAGTCAAGGAGGAGACTGGAAAATGCACTGGATAGGAGGGGCCAGGACTCAGCTCTCAGGAACTACTGGAGAAGGGACAGCTGAGAAGAGGCAGGAAATTTCACCTTTGTGGCCCCCATGCCCAACTTTTAGGTGAGGTGATGCCTGGGGCCTCCTCCACTGATGGATGGTCTTGGCCAAAGGCCCGATCCCATCTCTCTCCAGTCCCACCCACTCCCTCGATACCACTCACCTCTTTCAGGTTGAATCTCATGTGATGACAGAGGATATGGAAAGGGGGCTGGGTGCCTCCACCCTGAGGGTGGTAGCCTTTGACCAGAGAGGCCTGGAAAAGCCTTGGGTAGCCAAACTGGTAGCGGGCGGGGAGGGCGAAGCGCAGCCCATGTCGGTCCCCGTAGCGATGAAGCAGGCTCAGCACTGAGCTGCTCCCGGATTTATGCGTCTTCAGGAACACCAGTCGCTGCCGAGGAGAACAGGATGGAACATCTGGTTCTGGGGATCGGGCCCAGGTCTGTCGAAGCTGCAGCCCAGGTAGCCTGGGGGAAAGATGGGAGGGGATGTGTTCTGTCCCTCACCAGCAGGCGGTTGGGCATCTTGTGGAGCAAGGACAGAGGGTGTGGAGCCTCAGAGGGTGTGGAGCCTCCTCCAAGTTCCCAGCAGTCATGGGTAGGATTGGGAGGAGCATGTGAGGGGGCATCTATAAGGTATCGGAACAAGATGAAACTCACCTCCTCTGGAAGGGTCCCCCCCAGAACTGGAGGGCAAATCCGATGGTCATGAAGACTCCCAAAGCCACCCCCAGGCTCCGAGGCCCCCAGAGGCGCATGGTCCTGGTAGGAGACAGAGGGCCCATGTGGCACAGAGAAGGGTGACAGGGCAAGGGTCAGGCACAGAGGCAGAGACAGCTGGAGGCAGCCGTGCAGCTGCAGAAGGCACAGGTTCGAGATCGGGGGTCATTCCCCAGGCCTGTTTGCAGCCCTGGTTGAGTCTGCCCCCTGAGTTAGCAGATTTTTGCCACTGTCAGCGTCTAGAAGGGAAATGAGGGGAAGGAGGGGAGTCTAAGGAAAGGGTAGAGCCTTCTCTCCTGCAGCTGAGACTATTTCACAGAGGGGGGTGGTGATGAGGTACTCTCTACACCCAGACCTAGGTGGCCCCACAACTACTCCTCTGCTGTCAGCCACCAGCTCTCCCAACTGCCACCTATAGTTTCTTCCTGAGCCTCAGGAATTTGGAGGGGAAGGGGAAAAAGAGACCCTGCCAGAAAGATCAGGCCAATCTGCTCATATGACAGTGAGGCGGACATTGCCAGGCCCTGGCTCCCTCCTGAGCTTCTGATAGATCGGAAAGAAGAGTCCCATTTGGAGGCTGAAAGGGAAAGCCATAAGGAGGGAATATGGGTCAGATGAACCTAGAATGGTGAGACCACAGGACTGACTTCGTAATGAGTAAGAGTCAGTCATCTGGGCTAAACTCAGGCATCTCCTTTCCCCCTCTCAGCTCAGGGCTGACCCCAGTGTGGGGTTACTGACAAAACCCAGATACCTGGGCACACCTCCACACACTCCTATTCCCACTTTCCAACCCTATCAGTGCAGGCAGAGGAGACTGAGACAGTCAGGCTGGAGAGCAGGTGAGAAACTCTGCAAGACAAAGGTACTGACAGACATAAACATCGAGTTTGGAATTCCTTCCCAGGCCCTAGTTTCCTAATCAACTGGGAGTCCGACCCACCCCTTTAGATTACAGCCCACAACTACTGGGCCACAGCCCTTCAAACAAGCCCGGACAGCCCCCTTCCAGGATGAGCCGGGAGTAACCCCAGACAGAGAATCGATATTTGCAATCTAGAGACCTGCCCCTTCTGGCATCCGTCCCCCAACACAGTCCCCAGAATCCAGCCCTGCGCCAGACTCCTGTGTCCAGATTTCTTCTATTCCTTCCACCCATCTCTGTCTCCTCCCATTACTCTTGACTCCAGCCCTCTGTCCCCTTCAGCTTTGGTGACTCCCCCTCCCCCCGCCCCCCTCCAAGGACTCCTCCCATTAATTCTAGAGTCCCTCCACCGGCTGCAGCCTCAGTGTCACTTGCCCACTCACCAAGCCACCTGAGGGGCAGCAGGGAAATCAGGGTTTGGCTCTTCCCAGCCACCGACCGGCTCCTCACTCTTCTAAACTTTCCCCATAAACTTTCTCAGTGCCCAGGCTCCTCCCCTCACCCTCCCTTTGTCTGGCCAGTCCCTGCTGCTGCTTCAGCTTTGATCCAGTCCCGGGCCTCTCCCTCCCTGCATCTTTCCCTTGTTAGGGCACCCAGCTCACCCTTAGAAGACACAATTTCTACCCTCCTTTCACACTTAGGAATCACTTATTCCTTTTCTGTTTCTGCTTCCTGCAGAACAAAAGACTCATTCAGGAGACAGAAAGAAAGGAGCAAGTAACAGACAAGAGTTGAAAGCAGGCACTGTCAAGAGCTTGTGACAAGGTAGCCAAAGGCAGGAGGGCAGAAACAGGACCCTGCCCTGAAGGCAGGGGCACTAGTGTGGTAATAATAATGATGCCTCACGTTCAAAAAGAATTTTGGCAGTGACAAGGTGCTTCCTCACACAGTTCCTGTTTGGTCCTCACATTTCTCTCCATTTTACAAATGAAGGTCCTCAGATCCAGAGGGTGAACAACTTGCCCAAACTCAGTATTAGGGGACAGGATCCAAGAGAGGCAAGAAGCAAGCAGAAAATGAGCCTTACAGAGGCCCTGGGGCCTCTGTAAGGAGCCAGGGCCCGAGGAGAGCTGCTGAAATTACAGAGTCACACACTCAGGGTCCAATAAATTCATTGTTTATTTGTGAAATGCAAAGCTTGTGAAGGATGTGGATGGCAGAGGTCACGAGTTGTCCTTTTTGTGTGTGTTTTAGTTGAAGAAATTGATGCTGAAAAAACTCATAGAACCGAAGCCCACAGATCCTGACATCCTATTCACATACCCAACCAAGTTCCCTGCCCTGCACCTGTGGGCACCCAGCTTTGTTCATTTCTGAGACCAGGTGGCCCCCCCACCCCCCACTTCCAACTTCTTTTATTCCCCTACCCCCACCCCGCACAGCCAAATGTCAGTTTAAAAATCTTCCCTTTCTCCTCCTTGGAGCTGACCACCAGAGCCCAGCCTTAGAGGCTTGGTTGGAGAGACCACAAGTCCTTCCTAAATAAACACCCCCAGCCTCCCCACCCCAATACCAAATGAAAAAATAAATATTGTGAACACCCATCCACCCAACCCCAGTGGGAATCTCCTGGATTTGGGGCCCTAGCCATTCACCCAAAAAGTCCCTTCTCTACCCTCTCTGCAGCCCCCTTCAACTCCTCCCCAGACCCAGCTAAGTGCGGGGGAGGGAAGGGCCATGAACCCTTCTGATGCCAGGGCACCCCTCCCCGGTTATCGAGGTCCAAGCAGGGCCAGGGCTGAGAAGAAGAGAATGAGAATGGGTTGGGTGTGAAAACCCACAGATGTCCCCCCAGTCCTGCTCCTGCCCTGGTTTTGGCGGATGATGAAACCTCCTTTGCGGCCAGGAGGGCGAGGAGGCCGGGCTGGGGGCCCCACAGCTGCTGCCCCGGCCATCCAGTCATCTGCATAGTGCTGTCCTTCTCCAGAGCCGCTGGCATCCTCATCTGCAGGGAGGGAGGGGATCAGAGACAGACACAAGGAGGAAGAAAACTCCAAAACAGTAAGAAAGAGTGGTAGGAGAGAGAGACATAGGTAGGCAGATGAGAAGAGGCAGAAAGACAGTGACAGGAAGGCAAGGGGAGAGAGAGGTCAGGTAGACATGGGAATGAGGGAAGGCAGTGGGAGACAGAAAAGACAGACAGACAGATGGGGAGAGCGGATAAATAGGAAAAGACAGAGAAAACAAGTACACAGAAGCAGAGAGAGTACAGGAAAAGGGAGGACAATGAGATATAGAGACAGATAGTAGGAGAGAGAAAAAAACCATGTGTCCTTGTCTTGCCTCTCTGGCAAACTCTACTTTGGGAAGCCAGGCCAATGGCACCCCCACCCCACTCCCCCACCTCCCCTGGGTTGCCCACTCTCCCCATTCTCCCACAGTCCTTTGCCGACTGTTCTGTAAGAATGTTTTGGAGTCTCCTGACCGGAACGTGAACTCACAGGTAGAGACCTTCTCACAAATTGTTCTTCTACCCCTAACCTCTGAAGTAATCATTTAGTACAGGACTGTAAAATGCATGAGAGAATGAATGAAAACCAAGATGAGAGGGGAGGGACTCAGAAAGCAGTGGGCAGGACCAGGGTCCAGTCTCAAGCAGCCAGAGGAGGGAGGCCATCAGGGCACCCTGGGCATCTTACCCCAGTCCTCGAGGTCCAGGTCACGTCCCAGGGCGGCTGCCTTCATCCTGATTGTGGCTGACCGGAGCTGCAGCCGCCGCATCCGAGACTGAAGGTCAGGGTTTGAGGCTTCTACACGCACCTCTGGATTGTTGAGTTGCTCTGTCAGGGAGGCTCCAACCACGGGCAACAAGTACCTGCGAGCACAGCAGCACTGAAGGCTCCCGCCTGGCCCTGCCAATCAGCCCATCCCCGAATTTGGGCTTCACCCACCCACCAGGTCATCCATCTGCCCAGCTCTCACCGGCCCCGCCCGGTTCCGGTCCAGCAGGGTGCTGCCTCCTGTGCGATGTCCGCTGCCATACGGGGGTCCCCACACACCGCCAGGGGCAGCCCGGCCCAGAAGCCCCGGACCCGGCCCAACCTTTCACGCAGCTCCCACACCTGGGTGTGCAGAGAGAGCAGGTAGAGCTGCAGCTCGTGCCCACTCACCCACCCAACACCCCCATGTGGCCTGTCCCTAACTCACCATTCGGGGCAACATGGCTGCTGCTGTTGTTGGCAGCTCCTCCTCTGCCCCTGCTGTCCACAATCGGCCCACCTCTTCTACTGGTGCTGGGGCTCGGCGGGCACGGGTCATCGCCTTTGGGGGGACGCCACATTCCTGAAATACCTGTGGCACAGGGATGCCCCCACACAGTGAAACTGAAACTGTATCCCCTCTCCAACACCTAAATCTCCCCTGACATTCCCTGTTTCCCCAGATACAGTGCCTCCCTGATACCCCACACTGTCCCCCAACCCTAGACCCTTGCCTCCACCCTTCTCTGTCCTGTACTAGAACAGACACCCCCCGACTGTCTCCCCTCACCCCCATACTGACACTCCCACACTCCTCCTGTACCTGAGCGGACAGCCCCACACTGTTTTCCTGCAAGTACATCAAACCTTCTGAGATCTTCACCCCAATGGCCTGGGCTGCCAGCTCAAAGGAAAAGGGGCCCTGGATCTTCTCAGCCAGTAACAGGAGACCATCTTGAAAGAGGGGGAGAAAGACAAAGGGTGAAGTGAGGGGGCAGCCAGGGAGATACTCACTAAACTAGGGAGCTCCCACAAATCCTAACCTGGGCAGCAAAGTGTTAGGTGGGGGAAGACTCAAGAGCTCCCCTCCATGCTCCCCCTCCCAGTCCATCCCACTCATCCCTACACAGACAGCCATTTCAGGCTTCCCTGAGTGCTCACCCAGATAGGCCCCCCAGTCAGGGTCCAATCCCTGGCTGCTGAGACAGCCATGGGCCACGTTGAGGCAGAAACCCCGGCAAGGAGGCAGCAAGGGAACCCCCCGACAAAAGGGGCAGCCAGTCAGACGCATCACAGCCCGCCTGCAGCCATCGGACATGGGCACCTAGGGGCAGAGGGCTGGGCTGTGTCATCCATAAACACTGAGGCTGCCCTCAGCAAAGCTTGGTGTCAGGCACAGAGAGAAATCAAATACCCCACTCTACCTTCCCAGGCCCTATGTGGAGAACTGATATGAACACCATGAGGCGGCAGGTGAGACCTCCAAAAGACTGTGGAGGGAGGCTCCTAGGAGCCAAGTTGCAGAAACTGTTTCTTGGGAGAGATGGGACAGTGGGGTCTGAGAAAAGGCTTAAGGACAAGAATGAGGCAACAGTGGTAGGGAAAGGATGAAACTGAGGATGCAGGTAAAGCTGGGAGGTCAGGGAGAGAATGGGCAGAAGGAAGAGGGCCTTGAAAGCCAGATCAGGAATCTGGCCTTCAGGAGAGGGAAAAGGGAGCTACCGAGGAGTCTGGAGGAAGCCAGGGGGACCAGTACTCCCACCTCAGAATGTTATGGAGGTGAGCAGGTCCCTAGAGAATGGCAAGGGTATGAATCATCAGAGGGCAGCAGAGGTGAGAGGAGGTCATGAATCATGACACAAGGGAGACTTCGCTCTGGCACCCCCACTTCCTCATTCTCCCTGGAATGCCAGGACCTTGAGGCTGATATGAGAAGGCTCCAGGTCTCTCCTGCTGGTTGGCATTTGACTGTTCATCATGGGACCTCTCCTATTCTTCCTCTCCCTCTCTGAGTCCCTCCCACACTCAGGCCCCCTCTAACCTTAAGCGTTTCACTGACCACATTTCTTCCAGTCTCCAGGCCCTGGATAAAGGTCCGGGCAGCCACCATGGCCCGGGTTATCTGGAGGAGGGGAAAAAAGTGGAGAAAAACCATAGGGCTGTTATGTCGGTCAAGATGGGCCAAGAGACCGCACCAAAGGGATAAGCAGTGAGGGGGTAGGTCTGTGGAGTTAATCAAGGGGTGGTTAGGAATGTTAGGTGGTATAGGGAGGCAGGTGCAAGAGGCTCAAAGGAATTACAGTCTGGAAGGATCAAGAGGAGTTGGGCTTGGGAAGAGATGGAGGGATTACGTTTTACAGGGCTTCGAGACAGAGGGACTGTGTGCACCAGAACAATCACTGAATTTACAGCCAGAAGACCTGGGTATGAGACAGAACTCTACCACTTACTGGCTGTAAGACATTAACTTCTGGGAGGCTCGGTTTTCTCATCTGCAAAACAGGGATACTACCACCTACCTCCCAGAGTTACAATAGCAATTAAATGAGATACTATAAAGTGAAAATCCTGTGGTGATTGTAAGGGGACTAAATGGTAATGGGAAAAAAATAAAGATTAAGTAAAAAAAAATCATTCTCAAATATTAAGGGCCTAATTCACATTTAGTTGAACCAGAGGAAGTCAAGATACTGGGATGAAGGAAGAGTTGGCAGAAAGGTGACTGGGGACCAAGAATAGGTGAGTGGGTCAGGGATGTGTGTGAAACTCCCGCACAAGATGAATGTGGGGGACATCCAATCAAAGGAGACCAAGGAGCACTGGGTCAGGCAGGAATGACTGGGGCTGAATATAGGAGTCACCAGGTCAGAGGTGGCTGACATTCAGGATGTGGGTATCACCAGGTCAGAAGTGACTGGGGCATGAAGGGGGGGTCATTCAATTCGAGGTGAATGCACAGTTCAGAGGTCGCTAGATCAGAGGTAATGGAAACTCAGGCCTTGAAACCTCTCACCTGCAGGCGGAGGCGACGGGGTGAGTCCCCAAAAAGCTTCAGAGAGTCATCAGCAGAGGAAGCAAGGCGCGTGAGGCAGAACAGGTATTCAGGGGAGAAGATGTACTGTGGGTGCAGCAGGGGGAACATTTTCTCCAGGACCTGCGCCCAGAAATCCACCAAGGCATCATCTAACCCCTCACCGGACTTCTCATAGTAGTCCCGCAGCCTAGAGAACAGGCCACTGAATAAGGGAGTATGCTGGGAATACAGGCGGCCATAGGAGCGGTGGAAGAGCAGGGCCAGGGAGTGCTCAGCTGACGAGAGCATGTCCCGAAAAACCTCTGTGGTAAATGCAAATAAAGGGGTGTGAGGTGAGGTGAGGCCAGAGAAGGATGGAAATATGAAAGGGCAGAGGAAAGAAGAAATGGGAATGGGGAGAGAAGAGAAAAGACAAGTGAGTTAGAAACTGAGCAACTCTCAGCAGATTGGGAATGGGGTGGGGCAGCATCCTGGAAAGAGCCTGGGGTGGGGATGGGGTGGGAGTGGGGGGCTAAGCCTGGGCTGGGGTGCCTTTGGGATGGAATAGGAAATGATAGGATGCTTACTGGGGTTATGAGCACAGAGGGGGGTGTGTGGCCAGGCTTGGGGACCCCAAGTCCTCACCATCAAATGTTCTATGCCGGGTAGCCAATGTGTGAACCAGGAAGGAGCCACTCTCCTCCACCAGGCCTCGGAAGGTAGCCTCAGTGTCCCAGGTCAGCCTCTCCTCTATCTCACTGGAACAGCATGTATATTCTTGGGGACAGACCCGGAGATGCTCACCTGGACAGAGAACAAGGAATGGTGGCAAGTGATAAGGAATGGTGGGAAGTGATGTAGTGAAATTCCTTCCTTTTCCTGCCAATCTCTGGGGGCCATCCCTTCTCTTTTGCTTGTCTGGGTTCTTTTCTATTGTCTGTACTGGCATTTCCACCTGACTGTATCCCCACTTTATTGTCCCCTCACCCATCCCAAGTCCACTGGCATTGGCCATGGAATCAAATAGTGATGGACCAAATTAGTGATCAGAGGGTCCTCAGGGGACATTCCCCAACATCGCACACCCCAGGTCTCTAAGGACTTATGGGACCGCTTCTATGGAAAGAATGGGGTTTGGAGGGTTGGGGTTACTTGGTAAGCAGGATATAATGTATTATCATAGAAGTACTGTTAAAAATAGCGAGGCGAACATATTGGGCTATAAAGAAAGGAACAGAGGTGGATGCTCTTTACTAGAAAGGGATTCCTGGGAAGGGATGGGGTGGAGTAAGAGAGCTATTATGTGAACAGGAGGGCTATTGTGATTCTAACAAGGAAGTTCAGGAGGAGAGACAGTTACTATGGGATGAAAAGATTATAAAGGTCACTGAAAGGAAAGAGTTATTGTCAGATGGGGAGGACCCACCCCGCACCCCTCTCTCTCCCCGAATTCTCTAGTCTTCCTTTTTCTCCTCACCTGAGATCAGGGCGGGAGGGAGTAGGCTTAAGCTATATCCCCGGGCCCCCAGAATTTGCCGGGTCTCAGTGCAACTCCTGGTGACCTTTGCCTCGCTCCCGGTTCCAGGACCAAGACCAGGATACAGAGGTAGCAGCAGAAGCAGAAGAGTTCGCAGCGCAGACATAGTAGCTGCGACCCTGGAACGCAAAGTGGGTCCTAAGGAGGAAAGAAGAGCTGCCCGAACTCGGGAAGCTGGTTCTCCGTTACAGGACTGCCCCGCCGACCAGAGAAAGAGCGCGACCTCAGAAATACGAACACTGAGCACGATAGCTGTCTCTTTTGAGACAATGGGAGAGAGGAGTCGGACAGCGGGAGGAGCCCAAGGTGGAGCCTTACCAATGATAGCACGGAGCCGGCCTCAGGGGCGGGATCAAGAGAGAAATTAAGCCAATGTAGTAGGGATGCTCGGCAGAGGGGCGTAATTAGGCTGAACTAAGGAGGTTAGTGAGGGAGAGGGGGCGTGGCTTTTCTTAGGGGCGTGGCGATCCAGTCGGAAAGTAGGGGCCAGGATAGAACCCAGCCTATGGCAGTTGATAAGCCAGATTGAAGGGGCTACTACTGGTCTAGTGCAAAGCCCGGCCAATGGGGTGGGGGAAAAGGAGAATATTGAAGCAGAGGGGCGGAGCCAGGATGAGGCACAGCTGAAGCAGGCAGACTGCGCGCCTGAGCCCACGTGACGGGGCGGCACGCGGTAGAGCTGGCCGCCGCACGAGGCTACCAGAGCAGCGTGACTGCAATGTAGTGAGCACGAGCTCGCACACGTCCAAGCCTCGCGACAATTACCAGCCCTGCAACTAGCCGTTGGGCTCGCGCCTGCGCACAACGTACTTTGCGCCTTCCCGCGTTTTTCTGGATTCTTCTGCCACAAGAAGGGAAGCAGTGGGCTCCTGTGTCGCAGGTGGGGTGACTACAGAAACCAGAGGGACCCCCGAGGTGGTGACTTTTCCTCAGTCCTGCTCAGCCAGAATTGCTGTTCCCGGCTCAGACAGTGAGGCTCCTTGACCTGAGAATACGCCCCCACCCCTTCACCCACAGCCCTCCCGGCCCTCAGAGAGCCGTTTTCCTCCGTGCCTCAGTGGCTTCCTCCGTCTTTACAACCCGAGGGACTGATAGTTACTCTTCTGAGTGGTTAGAAGCCTCCTCAGCCCAAAGAAACACCCAATGGAGGGTCAGAAGTACCACCATCTAGAAAAGTAGAGAATGCGAGCTTTCCTTTACTCGTTTGGCGTTTCTGGCCGTTTTCTAATGGCACCTCCACCCCCAAATTGTGAAAAATGTCCTATTCCATGCTAGAAATGAAACTCTAGGTACTTTTTAATTTTTTGTTTGTAACGTGTGATCTGGTGCACTTGCGCCAGTCAGTTTAGGCTCCCGAATCTGGAGAGGGACCTGCTTTCAGCTGCTCTGGTGTGTGTGCCTCGCTCTGCCCTCGGAGAGTAACTCCAAACCCAGTCTGCGTCTGTCTGGGGCAGTGGTGTCTTTAATCCCCTGATGTCTTGGGTCAAGACTCTGTCTTTTTGTGTGTGTGTGTGCCCCCCTCCCCCCGCCCAATCCAAGTTCCAGAGCAGTTCCCTTGGAAAGAAGGGGGGTGATCAGAGCTGGGGAAGTGGTAGGGTTAGGAACCTTTTCCTCTCTTTCCTCCCGCAGTCGGACCACCATGCCTACCCTTCGATCCCCCTCTTCCTGGCTCCATGGCTCCTCCTCCCCAAGCAGTGTGTCCTCCCCACTGCAACAAGCAATGGCAAGTGGACAGAGGGGCTTGTCTGCATCTTCCAGTTTGTATGTCAATGTGCCCTGTGAAGACAGGGACTCGGACCAGACTTCAGAGGGGTGAGTGGAGTTGGCGAGGAATTGTTACCTTGTCCGGTTTTCTCCTGCATGGTCCGCAGCTTTCTGCTCTTTTTTACTACTGGTACTTTTAATAGTAAAATGGATGTGACTACATGAAAACGTAAAAGATGCTTTTCTGGTGCACGACAGTGACACCCCTCCAGTTCTGGTGTCTGTTTTTACTTGCTGTCCATGTTGTAAAGATCAAGAATAATACATTCTGTTCTAAATTCATCATTCAAGTTGTCGAAACCTTTCTTGAATACATTTGTATTTTCAGCATGTACAACCTCTAATGGGAGCAGGGCGAGAGGGAAAGGGAAAGTAAAGCATTCTTTATTTGTTGCCTGACATGCAGTATATGCTTTGTAGTTGATGTCCTGTAGTGCTTTTATTTGGGGATTTTATATACAGGTTCATCTATCCTTATTTGTTACCATTTTTGAGCCTTTTTGGTGAAGGTTATAATAACTTGTTTTTTAATCTTTGCAGGAAAAAATACAATCGTATGCAAGATCTGATTTATCCCCTATTTCTTTCAGTTGGCCTCCTTTGAATCATTTCTGTTTTTGGGGCAGTGGTGTCTTTAATCCCCTGATGTCTTGGGTCAAGACTCTGTCTTTTTTTTTTTTTTTGTGCCCCCCCTCCCCGCGCCCAATCCAAGTTCCAGAGCAGTTCCCTTGGAAAGAAGGGGGGTGATCAGAGCTGGGGAAGTGGTAGGGTAGGAACCTTTTCCTCTCTTTCCTCCTGCAGTTGGACCACCATGCCTACCCTTCGATCCCCCTCTTCCAGTTTTGTCACTGCTACTATCGAGGACCAGATTATACCTATGTTAAAAACTTTAATTGATCAGACATGTGCATTTGTTTCCAGGGTGGGATTAAACTCCAGGCCCATATCAATCTCCTGTTTATGTATGAGCAATATATGATTCCCCAAGCTGTGCTGATTTTTCTTCACACAGCAGTGATACCTCTGCCTGCTTAAGTAAATATTGTTTGATTTTCTTATTCAGAGAGACTGTTAGTAAAGAGTTGTTCTTCACTTACCTTAGTTCCTCGTTCTTCTTCTCCATTGCTTTATTCAAGTGAATTTTTCTTTAAGGCTTTGTCTCTACTTTCGGTGTCAGTAAGCTCATCTCTTCTTAAAGAAAATCTGAATAAATACTTAATGGAGAAAGGGTACAGTTAGAAAGTAAAAAGAAATTATAATTTATTTACCCTTTTCTGTGGAGGAACTGGGGTGTTGTATCTAAGGAGAACCACACTCCCTCATAGGGATAGTGATTCTTTGTCAACTGATGAAGGCAGTGACTTTGAAGACAGCTTGAAACGCAATATGAAGAAGAGAGCAGCAAAACGACCACTGAAAACAACCCCAGTGAGTCAGTCAGTTTTGTTTTGTTTTCAAACCTGTTCTGGGAAATGCCAAAAGAAAACCTAGAAGAAGCTCAGGAGATATGTTTGACGAAAAAACAAGACTTAAAGAGTGTTAAGAGGAAGAAGGCAAATTTTGAAGAGAAAAGATTAAAAGAGGAGGGTATTAGGATTCAGAGGAATATTTCATTGTAGTTTTATCACCAATGAACGTGTTCCTTAATTTAAATGAATAAATCTTTATGGGGCTAAGGGGCTTTTTAAAAGAAAAACAAAGTTATTTATTAAAATCAGTTATTTCAGATCTGAGTCAGTAACTCAAACTGTTGTATAATTAGCAGCTTAAGCCTACCTATGTGATGATGAAACCAAGTGTTGATGTGACTTGCACTTTTTAAAAATATCCCTGATCTCTTTATACTTATAGGTGGCAAAACACCCTAGGAAGGGATCTCAAATGGTACGTGGTCATAGCCAGAAAGAGTCAGAACCACTAGCCAATGATCTGTTTGATGCTGTGAAAGCTGCCAAGAGTGACATGCAGGTAAAAAACAGTGTCTCACTTCTCTTTCTTGATACCATCTCACTCTTTGTAGGGTGGAAAGATAAGGACAAGTGTCTACAAACTTAATTTCATGTAGACATTTTAATGAATATAACCTATATCAGGAAAGGCAGATAAGACGGTGAAGTGAATCGTTGGAATGTTACAAAGGGAAACAAACCTTGGATGAGAAAGTGTTTCTTTCCTAACAGTATCACAGAGCAAGTAGGCATTGGAAAATCTAGAGAGAAAGCTTGAATATGGGAGGCAACTTGTTCACCCTTGTAACTTTTTAGTTCCACTCTAACGATTATACCTAATTCCTTTTTCCTTCCCCACATTTCTTTTTAATATAACTTGTTATAATTCTGTTATCACCTAAAAGTATATAAGGCTTTTATGTAGTTTACAAAAATTTTAAATGATCATCCAGATCTCCAGCCCCAGCTCAAGAAATGAAATATTAATAGTGCTGTAGAGGCCCTTGTATATCTTCTTTCTACCCTACCCCCATAGTCCCCCTCACCACCCAGAGGCAACCACTAGAGTGAATTCTCTGTTAATCATTTCCTTGTCTTTTCATTGTGGTTTTATCACCAGTTAATGTGTTCCTCAATTTAAATAAATGAATCGTTTTATAGTCTTCTGTGACTTAATTATTTCAGTTGTTTGAGATCCATATTGATGTGTAGTATAGGTTTTTATAGTTTTTAGAAGTTTAAAACTTTCAAACATACTGAGTTTTTATATTTGTGTCATGATTTCTAACACTATTACATTGTCAGAAAATGTGGTCTTTGAAACTTGGAGATTAGCTTTATGATTAAGTATTTGGTCCTTTTTGGAAACTGTTCTACATGTGCTTGAGAATGTGTGTTCTTCAGTTGTTGGGTCCAGTGTTCTCTTATGTGAGATGAAAGATTTTTTTTTTAAGATTTTATTTATTTTTAGAGAGGGAAGGGAGATTATATATATATATATATATATATATATATATATATATATATATATATATATATAAGAGAGAGAGAGAGAGAGAGACAGACACATCAATGTGTGGTTGCTGGGGGTCATGGCCTGCAACCCATGCATGTACCTGGCTGGGAATCGAACCTGTGACACTTTGGTTCGCAGCTATGCCAGCCAGGGCTGAGATGAAAGATTTAAATGTGATACTGTTTTGGTATTTCTACTGACTTAGGGGGTTTGGGGTTCGTTTTTTTTTTTTGGTCTGTTTGCTATATCAGTTACAGAAAGAAGTGTATTAAAAAGGTGACTTTTTCAATTACTCTTTTTGTGTTCATATCTGTCTTTGCCTTAAGTATGAGGAAGCTTTGTTTCTTAGTAAATCAAACCTTTTGTTGTGGTATACTGACACTTCTTTATACGTTAAGACAAAAATTGTTTTGTTTGTATTAACATATCTATACTAGCTTTATTTTTTAATAGTATTTGCCTAGTATCTTTTCTACACCTATACTCTCTAGGTGTGTTTGGAATTTGTCTGCTGCATACAGCATACATCCAGATTATCATATTTAATTCATTCTGCCAATCTCTCCTTTATATTTTTATTTATTTATTTAAAAATATATTTATGATTATGCTATTACAGTTGTCCCAATTTTCCCCTTTACCCTTTTCTGCCTGGTATCCCCCTTCCCTCCAGCAATCCCCCATCTTAGTTCATTTCCATGCGTCGTGCATATAAATTCTTTGGCTTCTCCATTTTCTTTGCTATTCTTAACATCCCCATCTGTTTTGTACCTACCAATTATGCTTCTTAATCCTTGAACCTTTTCCCCCATTCCTCCCCTTCCCCCTCCCAGCTGATAACCCTCCAAATGATCATATCTATGATTCTGTTCCTATTCTAGTTGTTTGCTTAGTTTGTTTTTTTAAATCCATTTGTTGATAGTTGTGAATTTATTGCCATTTTAATATTCATAATTGTGATCATCTTTTTCTTAAATAAGTTCCTTTAACATTTCATGTAACAATGGCTTGGTGATGATGAACTCCTTTAGCTTTACCCTGTTTGGAAAGCACTTTGCCCTTCCAATTTTTTGCCCTATAATTTTGCCATTCTAAATTATAGCTTTGCTGAATAGAATAATCTAGGTTGTAGGTCCTAGCTTTTCATCCCTTTGAATACTTCTTGCCAGTCCTTTCTTGCCTGCAAAGTTCTTTTGAGAAATCAGCTGACAGTCTTATGGGAACTCCTTTGTAGGTAAATCTCTGCTTTTGCCTTGCTACTCTTAAGATTCTTTCTTTATCTTTAACCTTTGGCATTTTAATTATGATGTGTCTTGGTGTGGTCTTCTTTGGGTCCAACTTGTATAGGACTCTGTGTGCTTTCTGGACTTATATGTCTATTTCCTTCACCAAATTAAGGAATTTTTCTTTCATTATTTTTTCAAATAAGTTTTCAGTATTTTGCTCTCCCTCTTCTCCTTCTGGCATCCCTATGATACAGATGTTGGCACTTTTGGAGATGTCCCAGAGGGTTCTTATACTATCCACGTTTTTTTGTTTGTTTTTTGTTTGTTTTTAATTATTTTTTCTTCTTCTGGTTGAATGCTTATTTCTTCCTTATGTTCCAAATCATTGTCTTGAATCCTGGCTTCCTACCCTCCACTGATGGTTTCTTGTAGATTTTTCTTTATTTCACTTAGTGTAGCCTTCATTTCTTATGTTGTTGCCATACTTCATGAGTTCTTTTAGCACCCTGATCACCAGTGTTTTGAACTCTGCATCTGATAGGTTGGTTGTCTCTGTTTTGTTTAGTTGTTTTTCTGGGGGTTTGTTCTGTTCTTTCATTTGGGCCATATTTCTTTGTCTCCTTAATTTGGTAGCCTCCCTGTGTTTATTTCTGCATATTAGGTAGAGCTGCTTTGACTCCCTGTCTTAGTAGTGTGGCCTATTATAGAAAAGGCACCTGTAAATTGTGTGGAGGGGAGCCTTAGGTAATCACCAGGGCAAGGCAACCCCCTTCACTACTTTGTGGCTCTGTGTGGGGAGGGCTCAGAGAAGGGACAGTGCTACTGCCTGGCTTCTGGAGGTTTGCGCATTTCCCGTCACTTCACTCATTTCCCATATTTGACTTGCACTCTTCCAGCTGTTGCCCTGGTGCCAAATCACAGAGTGGATGGACTTGCATATGTTCTAAGTCCGTGTGGGCTCTTTAAACAGAGTCTCCTGATAATCTGGCAGTTCGTTCTGACACCACAACCCCCAATGGATTTTATAGCCAGAAGTTATGGGGATTTATTTTTCTGGCTCTGGAACCCTGGGCTGTGCTGTCTGGCCTGGGGCTGGTATTGCTCACTACCAAGGTATCCCTCCTGATTTTTATCCACCATACGTGAATATGGGACTGTCCATTCTGCCACCGCTGCTGCCTCTTCGTGCCACACCATGTTTCTGTGCCCCTCCACCCACCTGCAAACTCTGCTCGTCTTACTCATCTGGATGAATGTGGCTTCTTTAAATCCTTGGTTATCAGACTTCCATACAGCTCACTTTTCTGACAGTTCTGGGTATCAATTGTTTTGAGTTCTAGTTGTAATTCTTTCTGTAGTTACACAAAGAGGCAAAGACTATCTACCTGTGTCTCCATCTTGACCAGAAGTCCATCTCTCCTTTAACAAGAGAGTTTAATTCATTTATATTTATTGTCCCTACTGATATATTTGAATTTATTTCTACCATTGTATGTACTTTCACTTTATCTTGCCTTTCCTGTCTATTTTTCCCTTTTCGCTTTTGGATTTCTGTCTTCCACAAGGACCTAAGCACATTTTAATTCCATTGTCCCTTCCAGTTTACATACTTGTGTACAGTGTTTTAGGTGTGTCCATTCCTCCTCTCCCACAAAATTAGACATTGCTATTTTATACAGTGTTTGTTTATATGTAACTACATTTTTATCCTTTTCTTTGTCATTCATTATGAAATCTCACATCTTCTGTACAGAATTATTCTCTTGCTATCTAATATTTATCTTTTAAAATTTCTTTTGATATGAGTTTGTTAACAAACTTATTTTTTGCTTGTATAAAATGTCTTTGCCTTTGTTCTTTTTTTAATCCTCTCCTGAGGATATTGTTATTGACTTGGAAGGGGATGAGAGGGTGAGAGAGAGAGGAGAGCATTGATGTGAGAGACAAACATCGATCAGTAGCCTCCCATATGTACACCTACTGGGGATTGAACCCACAGGACTGGAACCTGTAAACCTTTTGATATATGGGACAATGCTCTAACCAACTGAGCCACCTGGTCAGGGCTCTTTACCCTTTTTCTTGAGAGATTGTTTGCTGTGTATAGAATTCTAAGATGACCTTTTTCTTTCCTCTCAGCACATTAAAAATATTATTCCACTGCCTTCTGACTTCCCTTATTGCTGCTGAAAGTCAGCTATCAGTCTAAGTTAGTGCTGTGTAATAATACAACAATTTGTTAGGATGGAATGTTCTTTGTCACCGTTGTCTAGTACAGTATCCATTAGCCACATATGGCTGTTGAGCATTTGATATGTGGCTAATGTGACTTAGGAACTGGATTTTTAATTTTTATTTGATTTAACTTTAATAACCAGATATGACTAGGGGCTAATGTATTTGTGTAGATCTAATTTGTGTATGTTTTTGTTTGTAAGTGTTAAATGCCAGTTCTTTGTAAGTGATCTCCTTTTGTTGTGACCATTTCAAGACTTTTTTTGCTTTTGTGTTAGGATGTTTTAAAGGATGTTTTGTCATGCTTAACATCTATCAGTGAACAGGCTCTGAGGATTAGTGTCTTTCAACAATTACAGAAAGTTCTTTTCAAATATTGCCTCTTTCTCAAATATTATCTTCTAGAATTCAATTAGATACCATTAGAATTTCTTGCTGTATTCTCCATGTCTCTAATAGCTCTTTCATTATTTCTCCTAGTCTCTGGGCTGCATTTTGGATAATTTTTTTCGCTTAATCTTCCAGTTTACTCATCTTCTGTTCTGTGTCCAATCTGCCTTTTTTTTTTTTTTAATTAACATCAATGTGTGCTTGCCTCTCTCACGCTCCCTACTAGGGACCTGGCTCACAACGCAGGCATATGCCCTGACTGGGAATTGAACCGGTGACCCTTTCATTCATATTCCCACACTCACCCCACTGAGCTACACCAACCAGGGCCCAATCTGCTTTTAATTCATTCATTGAAGTTTTAAATTTTATTTATTACACTTTCTACCACAACAGATTTTGTTTGGTCCTTTTCAAAATTAATTGTTATTTGCTTCTACCTTCAGGCTTCTTTTTCATTTCTTTAATCATAGTAAACATAACAATTTTATAATCTGTGATAACTTCAGTGTCTAAAGTCTGTGAATATAATTCTGCTGTCTGTTTCTCCTGCTGATTCTTACTTTTAGTGTCTTGTTTCTTTACTAGGTTTTACTATGATCCACTCATTTTCCATGGAGCTCTATATGTTGGAATTCTTTGGGGCCTGGGTTGAAGTTGGGTTTTAAGAGAGGAATCTGCATTTGCTTCTGGTAGTTGACTGGGAACACTCCAGAATCACTTTTAATTAAATTACCTGATTGCAATTATTCTGATTATATAAGGTAGTGTGAATCTGGACTGCGTATCTAGACCTGTGAGCTGGCTTATGGTTATGAATTCTCAAAGGAGAATTCTTTTTTCTCTCCACCTCACACTAAGATCATAGCAAGAGAATTTTCTTGTTGTCTTCTTCTGATCCATAGGTTTATTTCTAATCTTGCTTTCATGAGGGTGTGACTCTTTGCAGGACCCAGCTCTATGTAGGAGCCTCTTTTGGGAAGTTATTAGGTTCCATCTCCTATGCTCTGATGTCCAGGCAACCTTCTGGACAGAAAGTTGAGGCTCCCAGGGTTTAATAAAAGTCCTCAGGGCCTAAGTCAGTTGGCTTATCTCTAGGGATCGCTGCCTTCACTTCATTTTTAGACTATACAGAATTTTACCTTTCCAGTTCAGCAATAAATTTTTAAAGATATTTTTAAAATTTAATCAGAAGTTTAGATGCTTCAGTTGGGAAGATCATACAGGATTTCTAGACTGTTGTATTGCCAAAAATATAAATCATCCACATTGTTTTCCTAGTCTTTGGTGGATGAATGGCTGGAAAGCTACAAGCAAAACCAAGAGACAGCATTCCTGGAGCTCATTAACTTTTTCATTCGATCTTGTGGATGTAAAGGTGAGGAAACTCCTACCTCTTTCTGATCTCCAGCCTTCTGCTCCTATGTTATGAAACTTTCTTCCATTTAGTCAAGTAGGAATGGGCATTTCCTAAATGAAGGGAGAAGGTAAATCATAAGAAAACTTTCACTTGTTTAACTACCTTGTTAGCTGGCAAATAGGGATCCAATAGGGAACACTGTTTGGTTTGCAGACAAAACCCTCTGTGGAAAAGCAATTAATCATACTAATGTTAGTCACAAATTAAAAATGGACCATCACACACCTTCTGGTCTTCCTTTCTCTAGATGAAATAATATTTTATTTTCTTATTCCTTATTCTTCAGACATTTTATTGCATATTTCTTCATTGAAGCTATGGGCCCCTATGACCTAATTTATTGGGGCAGGTAGTCTTAGGCAGGCTGTATTATAAGAATCCAAAATCTGGTGTCATTTTATCACTGTCTTTGGTTTTTGTTTGTAGAATTTTTTTGTAACTGTAGTTTTCCACTGACTGATTCCTTTGGGTTTTCTAGAGTGGTTGCCTTGTATTAGATATACAGTTAGATGAGAGCAGATTTGGGTCTTCTGATTCCCCACCTAAGCTCTTTTTGATATATTCCCGAGCTCATCTTCAGATGTATATGTAAAGAGTTATGATGTCTTGTTATTTCCCTTGTAAATATCTCATCCCCTCCATTCCTTAGGCACTGTGACACCTGAGATGTTCAAGGAGATGTCCAACTCGGAGATTATCCAGCATCTAACAGAACAGTTTAATGAGGTGGAAAGAGAAGACCAAGATTATTATGCCACTCTTATTTCAAAACACAAGATTCCTTATCCCCTTCTTTCTGATTCTGGGAAATAGGATAGTTTTTAGAAGGACAAGTTCAATTTCTTGGGGGCAAAAGGAACCCATAGATATTATCTGAATATACCTCTAGAGTTGAAAATTGCAGGAAATTCGGTATAACAAAGATAACATACTATACTGTTGGGTTTTGACATCCAGGACCTCCTATGGCTTCACATACCCGGTAGTAACTTTCCCAATCTTTTCATAAACCCTGTGTAGGATTCAGGAGACTATCCCCTGACAGCTCCAGGTCCCTCCTGGAAGAAATTCCATGGAAGTTTCTGTGAATTTGTGAGGACTTTGGTTTATCAGTGTCAGTACAGTCTCCTTTATGATGGCTTTCCTATGGACAACCTCATCTCCCTGCTCACTGGCCTGTCAGACTCCCAAGTCCGTGCCTTTCGTCACACTAGCACCCTGGCTGGTGAGCACTTATTTTTACTCTATAAATGTTCTTCTGGGGATTGTTAGGACCTTCCTCTGTTCTATAGTCCTGGATGTTCTTTCCTTCCTGCATCTTAGCTCCTTATTTCAAGGCCATGCCTTTTTTTTTTTTTTTTAATCACAAACCAAATTTAGTTTCTCACTAGTGGAATTGTAGAAAATGGTGGATGGAACACATTTACAATTTCCAGCTTTCCCGTGTTTCTTATACCTCACCACTGGGAATATGCTGAGGATTAAAAGAAGCCCAAAGGGGTTAGGGAGGAAAAAGTCCACTCCAGGACCATGAGTCTTACAATTCGAGAGTGATTTTGTTCTAGCTTTTTATTTTTACTGCTCCTTATTTCATCCTCTTTTGAATCTACCCTCTGTCCTCTGACTTAAGTGATGATTTCCTTATCTTGCTTTTCCTGACTCAAAGCCATGAAGCTAATGACCTCTCTGGTAAGAGTAGCCCTGCAACTGAGTTTGCACAAAGACAATAATCAGCGCCAGTATGAGGCTGAACGAAACAAGGGGCCAGGACAGAGAGCACCTGAGAGGCTGGAAAGCCTGTTGGAGAAACGGAAAGAGGTAAGAAGTGTTCCCTGCCTCTCTTCCAGTTTCCATTCACTACTGCCACAGCCCACCTTATCAGTCCCCAAGCACTTCTCTCTGGTAAGGTACAGGTCCCCAAGCATCCTTTTACATCATGAATAATGGAGTCTGGCAGTAATTTAACAGACCCATCCTGTCAGAGGTCATTGCACACTCCTCTTGTTTCTGGGATGTGGACTCAATTATTATCATTTCCATTGATAATTTGTAGATTTTAGAGTTTTCTATAATTCCACTTTTGTCCAGTTTCCATTGACTACATTCATTATTAGAAGTGGTTAAGTGTTGTACCTGCATCTCATGAAAGGAGTTAAGTTTTTACTTTCTTGTCAAGTGTACAGTCTACAGGTCACCACTAAGGCTCACGACTGATGGGGGAGCCAAGTTTTTAAGGAATGGAAAGGGCACAGGCCCTTCAGTCACTCCTGAGCTTAAATTCTGTTCCAGTTAGCTACTAGCTCCAGGGCCTTATGTAACACTTGGAAGTTTCAGTTTCCATTTCTTTAAAAGGGGGATAATTCTACCTTTTATGGAGAATATGATGAGTAAACTAGCCTGGCACATAATAGATACTTGCTTTATTTCCTTTGAGACTTCAAAAAGACCACTGGAGGATACAAGTCCTAACAAAATCTTTTACACTGATTAAAACTTCAGACAGCTGTGTCTGTCATGAGACTAACACTGGTTTTCCCCCCCACTCTCCCTTGATATCTGAGACTTTTCCATCATTAGATGGCAGGACTCACCGTGTCTAACTGTAGTAATTAACTATTTTCCCAGCCCTTACCAAAGATATCTTGTGTGCTAAATCATTAGAGAAAGGAACTTTCTATTTCATTCTCTTCTTCAGTTTTCACTGTCAATATGCTCTTAAACTTTACATGTATTAGTTCTGTCTCAAACCTTATGTACAGTAATGTGTCTTTCTGTTTTATACTTCTCTATGCTCTTGTTTTATCAATTATCATTCCTCTTTTTGTCTTTAGTCCCTCCTTCCCTGCTGTTTTTTTCTCTCCACTTATAAATATATGGAGACCCTTGAATTGTACCCTTATTCTTTGCTTCTGTGAGAAAGTGTTTCCTAACTTTCTTAATATTCAGCTGAATCCTTTTTGCTGTCTAGCTTCTGTCCTCATTTTTCTTTGAAATCATTCTCAAACCAGTAACTTTCTAATCCCTTTAGCCAAAGGCCTTCTCTCAAATTCCCTTTTCCAAACTTCTCTAGAGTTTGGTACTGATGATCTACCTTTCTTCCTTCTATCCTCCCTCTCCTTTTTCTTTTAAATATGAAATTTTCAAAAATTTAGAAAAATAAAATAACCAGATGCAAAGGAAATATTATTTTTTCCAAATACAAAGAGACCCCTGAGGTATTAGTTGACTATACAGGTTCTTCCAGAATTAGAAGGTTTAAAGGGAACATAGGATACCAAGGGTTCAGACTATGTTCTGTAATAAATAGGAAGCAGGCAGAAGCCATACTTTTTCATATTTTTGTGGCCTTATATTGTTCGAGTACAAGAGACATTGACCTGTTCCTTCCTTTTCTTCAGCTCCAAGAGCATCAAGAGGAGATTGAGGGGATGATGAATGCCCTCTTCAGGGGTGTCTTTGTACACCGGTATAGGTGAGTTAATGGACTCTTCTCATTGAAGGAGCTGGTCTTTGGTTATGGAGTCTGTAGAAGTAACACGGCCCCCTCTTAACTCTGAGTTATTTGGTTAGTCTTAGAACTAATTCAGCTAGAGCACAAACTAAGAGATGTTTAAAATTAATAAAGTTTAGTTTATTACAAAGGATCTTGTAAGCTCTTCTGGGAGATCAAATAAGAGGTTGGGCATTGCTGAGTATTCTTACGCTCTAGCATTGTTTAGTACCTTCCCTCTCCCATGTTCCTGAGGCTAGATACTTGAGAGGATAAGAATAGAAAGCAAAAAGACAGGGCTTTTCTGAGGGTGTATAGCTTGGCAAGCCTTTTCCAAGCCCAGCATGCTGTTTCACTATGCTAAAGCGGGGAAGTCTTATACTGTTTAAATGGGTAGAATTAGTTAAAAAGAGCATCTGTATTTGTTTCTCATTCTTATCTAGATTTTTTTCCTCTGCCATTTTAGAACCCTTTAGTTGATTTGATCTTTCCTTGAAGTAGAATTAAACCACTCACACCATTTTGCCAACAGTTAAATTAACTTCCAAAATTAGTTTTTAAAGGGGACAAGAAAGATAAGTTTAACTATTTTATGGGTTGGTAACAGAAAGAAAATGTTTACTTTTTATCTATTATATTTACATTGGGAAAAGGTAGTAAAAAGCATAGAACATGGTGTTTAGTCAAGAAAAATTCTTCTGTGACAGATCATCAGGTAGGATGGAAAGTGAATTTGGAGAGAAGGTGATATGGGTCAATTTATCTTTTTATGCCTAGAGATGTTCTTCCTGACATTCGTGCTATCTGCATTGAGGAGATTGGGTCTTGGATGCAATGCTACAGTGCCTCTTTCCTCACTGATAGCTATTTAAAATACATTGGCTGGACCCTGCATGATAAGGTGAGAGCAGAGTCCATCTCCTTTTCCTTACTTCCCTCATTCTTTCCCCTGCCCTAGGATACTTCAGCTTTTCCTGGTCCTGCCACTTCGGTGTTTCATTAGCTATCAGTGATCAGCCTATCAAGATACTGAACCTTGAAACTTCTTCAGTATTGGGGAAGAGAGGATAGGATATGGTAGAAGAGAGAAAGACCTATCCAGGAAATGAAACACCTCAAAACCAGAGTAGAGGGGAGGAAGACTTTTCCTATAAAAAAGGAAAAGTCCTTATTGATGGTTTGGTAGAGTATAGGTGCTGGGGTGATAACTAGAGATCCTCTTCATTATGATTGCTAAATACCACTGTGATCTTTTTATTTTTTAAGTAATAAGATAGCTGTAGATTGTCTTTAAGGTATCTCAGAATCCTCATTGTAGAGGACACCCAGGCCCAGAATGAGTAATCTGGGGGATGGGGAGATAGTATGGAGGCCCAGTGAGGGTGAGGAGAGGAATGGTCAGTAATACTTCCATTTTCCTCAGCAGCATCGAGAGGTCCGTCTGAAGTGCCTGAAGGCTCTCAAAGAGTTGTACAGCAACCGAGACTTGATTGCACGCCTAGAGCTCTTTACCAGTCGCTTTAAGGTAAAATTAGGACAGTACTCCTGTGCTTGGCTCTTTCCTGTGGTTCCCATTGCCCTGCCTCATCTTTCCATTTCTATTGCTCTGATATAGCTATAGCTATCCCAGCATCTGCTTTTACACCCTCTCTTTAGGAATCTCTCGAATTCTAAGAGAACATGATTTTGGGGATGGGTACAGTGAAGTTTTGAGCAATGTTCTCCTTCTTGCAGGATCGGATGGTATCCATGGTCATGGACCGAGAGTACGATGTGGCAGTGGAGGCCGTCAGGTTGCTAATACTTATCCTTAAGTGAGTCATGGGAAGTGGGGAAGCAAGCTTCTCGAACTTGTACCTTTCCAGCATCAGACAGGCCCTTCCAGAGTCCTGTCCCTCCACCTCGTGTAGGTTGATTCTCCCTTATGTACAGGTTGAAAGACAGAGGTCATTTCTGAGTTGCAAGATATCCAGGGGGAAATTTTCCTATCTTCTCTAACTCTCCATACTCCTCTGCCTTCCACTTTTTGTTTAAAAGTTGTTTGTGAGTTAATCCTTATTGTTTTTGTTTGTTTCTAGCCTTAGTTGTGCCAGAAAACTACATCCATATCCATCTCCTTTTTCTTTTTTTCTCTTGACAGGAACATGGAAGGAGTGCTGACAGATGCAGACTGTGAGAGCATCTACCCTGTTGTGTATGCCTCTCACCGAGCCCTGGCCTCTGCTGCAGGGGAGTTTCTCTACTGGAAGTGAGTGGGGCTCCTTTCATTTGTTCCTTTAACACCATCCTCTGTTGTTTTCTCTCTCACCTGCTGCTGATGTTGCTAAGAACTCCCCATACCTATTAAAGTCTCTCAGGGTCTCCTTTTCCCTGTCAACTCGTTGGGGCTTCCCTTAGCTCTGAATCTCTTTTCTCTTTATACCTCTTCTTGGATTTTTTTCCTCCCTCCATGGTGGTTATTTCTTCCTGTGCTATGCCTTTTCTTTGTGTCCATTCTACCAGGCTCTTCTACCCTGAATATGAGACAAGAATGGTGAGTGGGAAAGAGCGACGCCGAAGTCCACTCGCTCAGAAGACTTTCTTCCATCTTCTGCTGTCCTTCTTTGTGGAGAGTGAGGTGATGTATAGGAAGGAGCTGTTTGTTTGTTGTGCATTACACCTGCAGGTAGAGAAGGATGGGAGCTGACACTACAGGAAGAAGAAACATGGTTTATCAGTAGTCACTTCCTAGGGTTTTTTAATGTGGCTTCAGTAACTTAATGTGTACCTTCTTCCACAGCTCCATGACCATGCTGCTTACTTAGTAGACAGCCTGTGGGACTGTGCAGGGTCTCAGCTGAAGGACTGGGAGAGTCTGACAAGCTTGCTTCTGGAGAAGGACCAGAGTGCGTGTCATATGGTAGCTGGGGGCAGGGTGGGGGCCTTTTACCTGGTGGGAAACCAGGAGAGATTTCTTTCCTGTATTTTAAAAGGCAGAAGTGTAATGGGCAGTGGGGACACAGCATGGCGGAAGACTTGGATGTAGAAGGTGGCTAATACATGATTCTGTGTTTTCATTCTCTTGCCAATCCAGACCTAGGTGATGTGCAGGAGAACACACTGATAGAAATCCTTGTGTCCAGTGTTCGGCAAGCTTCAGAGGGTCACCCACCTGTGGGACGGGTCACTGGGAGGAAGGTATGGTGTGGGAGTGGCAATATTAAATCCAAACAGGTATTATCAATCTTTATCTTCAAGTCTTAGCTTAGGGTGCCCCTTACTCTGTCCCTCAAAGAATTCCATTTCCAGAAAAAAAATCTGAATGGAGCTGCTCAATACTCTTATCCTTCCTGGGGATGGGGGACACACATACCAGTGTTTCTCCACACCTTTTCCACACCTCCAAATGACTCTAATTCCAGGGCTTAACTCCTAAAGAACGTAAGACCCAAGCAGATGACAAGATGAAGCTGACTGAGCATCTCATTCCTCTGCTACCCCAGCTCCTGGCCAAGGTAGAGCTGCCTCACTGTTCAGCATCTGGGAATGAAGGAGTGAAAAGAAATGGGTGTCTGATGAGGAATAGGAGTAAGAATTAGCACTATATTAGATAACAAGTTGGTCTCCCTCTCAACCACAGTTCTCAGCTGATGCAGAGAAGGTTGCTCCCCTGCTGCAGCTGCTTAACTACTTTGACCTCAACATCTATTGCACCAGGCGTTTAGAGAAGGTGAGAAGGAAGATGTATTTCCTCTACCTTGCTGCTTCCCTGCTAGGGCCAAAGGTCCTATTGCTAGTATCTGGTTCTTCTTAAGAACCTGAGTTTCTGAAAAATCAGTTTTCCCTTTCTTAAATATCTTATTTTTAAAGTTTAATGCTTTTAACACTCTTTCTTATCTCCCTTAGCTATACTCCTCTTCAGAAGAGTTGTCCTCGCCACCTCCCTAACAGCATTAGTTTCTCCCACCATTTTTTTCCTCAGCACCTGGAGCTGTTTTTACAGCAACTCCAGGAGGTGGTGATGAAGCATGCAGATCCAGCAGTGCTTGAGGCTGGAGCTCACGCCCTCTGTCTGCTCTGTAATCCTGAGTTCACATTCTTCAGCCGGGTAGACTTTACCCGCAGCCAACTAGTCGATCTGCTGACTGACCGCTTCCAGCAGGAGCTTGAAGAGTTGCTGCAGGTAGGAACTGAGGCTGAGTGACAGGGAGAGGGCCATAGTACAGGGAACATCTATCTGTGAGTTCTTGAGAAAATCCCATTGTGGACCTTCTTTCTTCCTCAGTCTTCCTTCCTAGATGAGGATGAGGTATATAGCCTGGCAGCCACTCTGAAGCGCCTCTCTGCCTTCTACAAGTGAGCAGCTTACCTCCTGCCTCCTCTTTGATTTCCACTGGTGTCTATGGAGTTGATTCTTCCACCTTCTGATCTGGTGTAACATTTCCCTCTCCTCCCTCCCACTCAAGTGCTCATGATCTAACTCGATGGGAGCTTTATGAGCCATGCTACCGACTCATCCGGAAGGCTGTGGACACAGGACAGGTTCCTCACCAGGCAAGTAGACTAGTTGGAGGTGTGGAGGCAGAGAGGAGTTTTTAAGGGCCCTGTGTTCTAGGTAGCAAATTCTCCCAGGCAACTCCAGTCCTAGGGATGTGGTACAGACACAAAGGAAGATCATGTGTGTGCTCTCCTTCCATTTCACTCTTGGAAAGTGAACTGCACTTTTATTTTCTTCAAAAATTTTATTTTTTAGAGAGAGGGGAAGGGAGGGAGAAAGGAGAGAAACACTGATGTGTGAGAAACATCCATCAGTTGCCTCTCCCATGCCCCCATCCAGGGACCTGGCCCATAACCCAGGCATGTGTCATGACCAGGAATCGAATGGTGACCTTTTCCTTTGCCAGGGTAGTGCTCAGCCCACTGAGCCACATCAGTCAGGGCTGAACTGTATTGTTCAATGCCTGAAAACAGCCATCATCTCTGGTTGTCTGGAAGTCAAGGATAATATTGACAGATTCTAGGAGACCTCAAATAAATTAAGCAGAGGTGACATTTTTACCCAGGATAAAATCCTCTGAAGATTGTCTGGAATCACTTCTTTTATAGCAGAAAAGGAATTGGGTCACCCCTTAATCTTATCTTCTCTCTCCTTCATGGCTCTGTCTCTTTTTACTGCTTTGTACAAGGTCTGTCCATAAAGTATCCAGCTGTGTAATACAAAAAATAGAGACATTTATTGAAGATACAAGAAATATTTACATAGGACAATGATGCTTCAGTCCCCTTCAAATTAGGTACCTTGAGACCTCACACAGTTCTCCCAGTCACCATCAGCTGCCCCATCATATTTTCCTGAATCTCATCAATGGTCTGAAATATCTTCCCTTTCATGGGTGATTTTAGTTTTGGGAAAGACCACAAGTTGCAGGGCACCAAATCTGGGTTGTAGGGGGGCTGAGTCACCTGAGTGATTTTGCCAAAAAAACTTTGCATGAGACATGATGTATGAGTGGGCACATTGTTGTGATGAAGCTGCCAATTACTAGTTGCCTATAGCTGCAGCCTTCTGCATCATCTAAAGAGTTTCCGAGGAGAAGTGTTCAAGCTTAATGTAAAATCTGATGCAAATCCATTGTTCTACTCAGTCATTTTTAATACAATGGCCACACAGTACCTACACATGCTCACTCAACAGCAGCTACCACCCTCACTGACTAGTACAGTGAAGGCATCATTATTCACACATGCACATTCCAGTCCACTCTCCCTTGGCTGCTAGGTTACATTGATATTGCACAAACCATTCTTGTTATATTAATAATAGCTGGATTTTTTTCCAGACAGACCTCATATGCACCTACCTATTTGTCTCCTTCTCGTCCTTTCTCTTTTTCCCTCCCTGCCTTCCCATTACTCTCCTGACCCATCCCTCATTTTTGTAACATTTGGTGGTTACAGGTGATCCTGCCAGCCTTGACTGTTGTCTATTTTTCCATTCTCTGGACACTATCCCACCTTTCTGGAGCAGGTGCTTCCCAGGTGAATATGGGCCTGAGTAGGGGGAATGGGAATGAAGGGGCTTGTGTCTTCATTCCTTCCCCTGAAGGCACTGTCTCTACAGAAACAGCTTTTGAGTTTGAAGGGCAGAATGGTGGCCTTCTGTGAACTCTGCCAGAGCTGCCTCTCGGATGTGGATCCTGAGACCCAGGAACAGGTGAGCATTTACTCAAGAAGGACCAAGGAGGCAAGACTTCCCATTGTTTGAGCAATCCCTTTCTAAGGAGGAAGTAGTTGTGTAATATTGATTTTGGTCTGTGTTCTGACATTTTTAAGCATTCTTTTTGTTCCCTAACAGGCTTTTGTCTTACTAAGTGATCTACTTCTCATCTTCAGCCCTCAGATGATTGTAGGGGGACGTGATTTTCTTAGGCCCCTTGTCTTTGTTCCTGAAGCCACTCTGCAGTCTGAGCTAGCCAGCTTCCTCATGGACCACATCTTCATCCAGCCTGGAGAACTGGGCAAGGGTACAGGAGTTGTATGCCTGGGGCTGAAGAAGGTCTGGGGCTTGGGCCTACCTCAGGCAAATAGGACAAGAGGCCTAAATCTTTGGTTCTTATATTTCCATTCTGCGTTTGATATGAGCCAGGTCATTCCCAGGAGGACCATTTACAGATAGAGCAGCTGCACAAGCGGCGCCGCCTCCTGGCAGGATTCTGCAAGCTCTTGATTTATGGGGTGCTGGAGATGGATGCAGCTTCAGATGTTTTCAAACACTATAACAAGGTACAGTGTGGCACCAAGCTGACTATAGGCAAGACTGCACTCTGTAGCACTACAGAAAGGTGGGTGGGGGAGATTATGGTATCAGGCTTAAAAGAAAAGTAGGAGAGAAAAAAGCAATAGGAGTTTAGAATAAAAGAACAAAGAAAAGAAACTTAGTAGTAAACAATTATGGAGAAAAAGTTATTAGGAGGAGGAAATTCATTGGAGAGGAAATATCTTTTTGTGTGAACCCAGTCTCTGGAATGGTAATATAAGAAGGGAAGAAAAAAGAGGAATCAGTTTTCATAAGATGCCTAGATGTATATCTTGGTTTCTTCAACCCACCATTGCATTGATTCCTGTTTAGTTAGCATCTACTATGTGCCAAGCATCATTCCAAACACTAAGGGCAATGCCTTGAACAAAATAGAAAAAAGTTCCTGCTTCATAGAACTTCTCTTCTAGTGGGGTCAGACAAATAGTGAAGGTGTCACTAAGTCACTTTTGGAAGGAGACTTAATTAGGAATGTTTAGGAAGAAACCAAACAAACAGTCTTTTCCTGTAGTCAAACACTGTCTTCTTCATTTCTTCTCCCTCAGTTTTACAATGACTATGGTGACATCATCAAGGAAACATTAACTAGAGCAAGACAGATTGACCGAAGTCATTGTTCCCAAATCCTGCTGCTGAGCCTCAAGCAGGTACGCTCTTCTGCCTGGAGAGCCTCAAAACTGTGGCATGCCCTGTGTATAGTTGACAGACTCTCTGTTCACCTGAAGCCATTTAGAATGTGAGATCCTTAAGAGCAGGACCTTTCTGATTTTTTTTTTTTTTGCTGTTACTTTACATGACATCTCCTTCATAACTACTAGACCCATAAAAAATATTTAATTGAAGGACAGATTCTACCCCAACTCTATAGAAATTCAACTATTAGATGGGACTTAAGAACACCAACAATAAAGTAATAGGGAATTTTTAATTTTCAAAAATCTGTTATCTCTCAGCCTCCTTTGGTTACTACAGACATTTTTTTTATTGCTATAGAGCAGGGGTGAAAGCTGTCTCTGATGCAGGGGTCAGAAGTCGAGCTAGTGTCCTAGGCGGAAAGAAAGTAAAAGTAGCAGACAGCATCCCAAGCCCTTCAGAATATCAAGGCAGAGAAGGGAATGCTCTGCTTCTCTATGTCCACCTTGTTCCTCCCTCTCTCAAATGTATCATGTGTCTTGGACACAGCTATACACAGAACTGCTGCAGGAACAGGGGCCCCAGGGCCTGAATGAACTTCCAGCCTTCATGGAGATGAGGGACCTAGCCCGGAGGTTTGCCTTGAGCTTTGGACCCCAGCAGCTACAGAACCGTGACCTTGTGGTCATGCTACACAAGTAAGGCAGTATTGGTTGGAAGTCAGTGTTTTGAATTTTCCTGAGAAGTTTAAGCCAAACACTGTGTATAGGGAGAGCTGGGAATAAGGTCTTAGAGGGAGGATAAGCAGTCAGGTTGGCAGGTGGGTAGCTATGGGAGACAAGCTGGGGGACAGGAGGAGGGTATACTTGGACAGCACTGAGACAGAAATGGAAAGGGACTGTTTTTCTAAAATAATTCTGTTCAACCAAGGGAAGGTATCAAGTTCTCCTTGTCTGAGCTTCCTCCAGCTGGATCCTCCAGTCAGCCTCCAAATCTTGCATTCCTGGAGCTCCTTTCAGAGTTTTCCCCCAGACTTTTCCATCAGGACAAGCAGCTACTGTAAGTTGTGGATGGGTGGATAAAGATGTGGATTAGGGAAGAAGGGGATGGTGAGGGCCCAGGGATCATTTCAGCCTCTTCATCCCACCCCTTGCTTAGACTGTCCTACCTGGAAAAGTGTCTGCAGCGTGTCTCCCAGACCCCTGGCCATCCCTGGGGTTCAGTCACCATTTACTGCCACTCCCTCAGCCCTGTAGAGAACGCAGCAGAGACCAACCCTCAGGGCTACCCCCACTCCAAGAAGAGGCGCATTGAAGGTAAAGTGCCATGTATGTGTCCTGTGTGTATATACTGTGTATACAGGTTTCAGGGTCCCCAGCAGTACTTCCTTTAGTGCCACTATGTGGATAAGCAGCATATGGTCTTTTGCGTACTTCAAACTTCTGCTTTTGGTTAAATAAAAAATATTTCATTGTGCATCTACTATCATTAAGGGTACTCATTTTATCAAGGTCTATTTAGCCAACTTAAAAAAGCAAACCTCCATGAAAAATCAACTGGAAACTAATGATAAAGCCAAAGATTGAGCTAAGATCTGTATATTTGGGGTACCCCTTATATTCTGTGGTTTTACAAATTGTAAATATTTTTACACAACCTTTATGATTTTTTACCTTCAGATCACCACCTGTCTTATAATTCACGTAGGAGTTTTTTCTTTAAACTGAATTTCTTATATAATGTCATCTTAAGTGACATCCTTGAAATCACAAGTTTGATGTGATTTAACTAGTAGTAGTCATTCCTCGTTCTCCCCACCCTCCCAACCCTGGGCAAAACCACTAATCTAATTTGTAACTCTGGATTTGCCAGTTTTTTGACATCTTACAAAATGGAATCATACAATACATGGCCTTCTGTGTCTGACTTCTTTCACTTAGCATAATGTTTTCAAATTTTATCCATGTTTTAGCATGTATCATACCTCATACCTTTTTATGGCTGACTAATATTCCATTGTATGGACAGGCCACATTTTTATTTATCCATTCATCAGTTGATTAATATTTAGTTTGTTTCCACTTTCTTACTGTTATACATAATGTTGCTATGGACATTCATGTACAAATTTTTGCAGGGACATATGTTTTCAGTTCTCTTGGGCTATACCTAGGAGTGAAATTGCTCAATCATATGATCACTCCATGTTTAACTCTTTGAGGAACTACCAAAGTGTTTTCTAAAGTGCCTACATCATTTTACAATGCCAATAGCAATGTATGAGGACCCCAGTTTCTCCATGTTCTTGCCAGTATTTGTCATTGTGTTTTTTATTTTATTCACCTCAGTGCCTCTGAATTGATATCTCATTGTTGTTTAAATTTTTATTTCCTTAATAACGATGCTGAGTATCTTTCATGTGTTTATTGATGATTTGTTTGTATATCTGTCTTCATTAGAGAAATATTTATTCAAATCCCTTGCTCCTTTTAAAATTGGTTTGTCTTTTTATTGTTGAGTTGTAAGAGATCTTTATATATTTTAGATACAAGCCATATATCCAATAGGATATCCAAAAGTTTTCTACCATTCTGTGGGTTGTCTTGTCATTTTCTTTATGGTGTCCTTTGAAACACAAAAGTTCTTAATTTTGATGAAATCCAACTTATCTGATTTTTCTTTCATTGTTTATGCTTTTGGTGTCATTTTAAGGAATCATCACCTAATTCAAGGTCATGAAGATTTACACGTATGCTTTCTTCTAACACTTTTCTAGTTTTGCTGTTACATTTAGGTCTGTGATTCATTTTGAGTTAATTTTTGTCTATGTTGTGAGAGACAGTATGCCTTCTTTTTAATGTCTTCAGTATACCACCTAAAATTATCCTATACTACCAGGAAACTTTATTTTAACCATTTAGCTAATAAATTATTTGTTAAGGACTTACTATATGCAACATGTTGTATTTGGTGTTTTAGAGACCATGAAGGATCCTTAAGCAGCTTACCATCTAATAGGAAAAAGAGAAAATACATTTATAGAAAATCTGAATTATGAATAGTCACCAGGAAATGATAATTTCCTGAGTGTTTCCGAATTTAAAGATCAATGCTAAAGAATTCAGGGAAAGAAGTTATCACTTTAAATTTACTTTATCTTTGAAGGTTTTACCAAGAATATGGAATTTAAACTGGAGCCTGAAAAATAGGTAAGATTTACATAAGCTGAACAAAGGAAGAATGAGTACCGTGGTCTAGCAGCATAGCATAAGCAAACACAAGAAGCTATGCTTTAGGTAAAACACATGGATGTACTGATTGGTTTCCCTAAAACAGGGCTTGGAAAGGTAGGATGACTCTAAAAAGATTGGTTCCACTGTTCATTCAGCAGATGCATATTGAGCACCATGTATTGGAAATACAGCAGTGAACAACAACAACAAAAAGACAAATATCCCTTTCTTTAGAGTGTCAGGTACTAATAATACGCTGTGGAAAAAAAACGGAAGAGGATGAGGAAACACTCATGAGGTGGGGATTGTGGCGTGTAGAGAGGGATCAGAGGGAAACTTTGCAGAGAGCGTGAAGGTTGAGCAAAAACCTAAAGCAAGTGAAGGAAGGTGTTAGGTGTATATCAGGATAGTTTATCAGAGGGGCAGCATATCCAGAGGCCATGATAGGGGATGTGTCTGGCACATTCAAGGAACAACAGAGAAGACCAGTGTAGCCAAATAGAGATTGTCTATACTGGTCTTTGTTGTTCCTTGGCTGTACATAATCACTGAATGGAGGTTGTGTAGGATATAAGAACAAAGATGTCATAGGAGCTCAGAATGTATGGCACAGAGTAAAGACTGGACTTTACATGGAATGAAATAAGAAAATACTGTAGGATTTGAATAGAGGAATGACAGGATCTGCCTTACATTTTAAAAACACTCCTCTTGAGGAATTGACTAGAGGGGCAAGGGTAGAAGCAAAGCAGCCACTGAGGAGGCTGTTGTAGGAGTACAGATGAGACGGGAGATGGGATACAATGAGGGGAGTGGCAGAGGTGACCAGATTCTGGACATATTTCCAAGCTATCATTAACAGCACTTCCTGACAAACAGATGTGTGATATAAGACAGAGGAGTTGAGGGTGCCTCCAAGAATTTTGGCCTAACAGTTGGAAGGATGGCATTGATAGGAGATGGGGAAGGCTGTGAGTGAGATCAGGACTTTGGTATTAGCCATGTTTTTACAGGTGGAGATGTTGGACAGACAGCTGGGAATAGGAATCTAGAGTTCAGGGGAAAGGCAAAAGCTGAGGTGAATTTGGGAGTTGGTATTTAAAGGTGTGAAGGCTAAATGGCTAAGGAAGCCAGTGAAGGTGGGGCAAAGGAGGGGCCCAAGGGCTGAGTGCTTGGGAATTATGCCATTAATAGGCTGGGGAGATTCGGAGGATCCATCCACCTGGGGGCCCAAGGTTTCCTCTCAGGTTACAGACTCATGTTCGTAGCTCTCCCCTGTAATCTGTAGCCCTCCCCTTCCTTATTTTTCCAGGTTATTGGTTTCAGTGTACGATCATGGCCATAAAGGGGGAGGCTAATGGGTGTGTGAATGTTTACAGATGACAAATATTAATATCAATTTGACTCATGTTTTCAAATAGTATTACCTGGGTTTTCTGAGACATTTTGGATTCTTTTTTCTCCTTTACCTTTTTAGATCTCTGCAGGAGATTCTTAACTAGGTTCTTCACTTATCCTTCATATCAGCACTACACCAACATTGCAATCATCTCAATTTTTTCTGGCTTTTTGAAAATCCAGTGTTCCGTTTTTTTCCCTCCCGGCCCCTTCTATCATAGCTTCAGGTCCCAAAACTCTATTTGCCATTTTAAACTTTTTCTCACCACAGAAATCTTGAATGAATAGGATCTTAAATATCTTCATTTATTAACTGAGACCTCTCAATCTTAGGGGAGTCCAACCCTTTCTCATATTCATGTTCAGATGTTACTGTTCATATGTGAAAAATATATTTATATCTTTTTCCATCTTATTTTATAACCTATGTAGTAAGTTTTTCTTCTATGGGTCCTAGGTATACCATTTACTTATTTATTTATTTATCTCAGATGGGCTTCTTTCACTTAGTAATATGCATTTAAGGTCCCTCCATGTCTTTTTAAAAGTATTTATTTTTTAAAGATTTTATTTATTTATTTTTAGAGTGGGGGGAAGGGAGGGAGAAAGAGAGGGAGAGAAACATCGATGTGTGGTTGCCTCTCACGTAGTCCCCAGTGGGGATCTGGTCTGCAACCCAGGTATGTGCCCTGACTGGTGAATCGAACCAGCGACCCTTTGGTTCACAGACTGTGCTCAATCCACTGAGCTACACCAGCCAGGACTTTTTAGAAAAGTCGCTGATATCTTTATTGCTTTGTGGTGCTCAGGAGCTCTTGGTGAAGGGGACCTGCTTCATCTTCACCATCATGGGCTTCTGGCTGCCCAAGATAGTGCTGGCCCTGCATATGGTGACCACGTACAGATCCAAGTAGTACTTATTCTTGCAGATCATGTGCTGGATGCTGCTCAGGGTGGCCCAGGCATTCTTGTTGATGGTGGTTTGCACATAGGAAGTGGCCAGCTTTCATTGTTCCCATCTCTACTTCATGATGACCACCACACCTTTGCCACTGGCTCCATACCCACCATCTTGTGGTGAATCAGCCCATTGTGACAGAAGGAGTTGCATGCCTTCAGATTATTGGGGTCAATGCTGTATGTCTGCTTATCCCTGTTTATCAAAAAGCTGGAGCAGTTCTGTGTGACCATCTGTTGCAGGTAGGCAGACGTGGTGGCAGCTGCTTTTACTGTGTTGGCCGGAGGTGGAAAGAGCTAGATATACTTCTATAAGTCTTATTCTTTTAGTATATAAAGCTGCACTCATTTTTTAGTCAGAACATAATGAGGCCATTTAGGTTTTCCATTCCTTTCTTAACTTTTTCTAACCAAAATCCAGGTCTTGAAAAAATAAAACTGTCCATGGCAGTACCTTGTCTACAGTTTATATGCACATCTGCTTCTTTGCAGGCTCCTCCAGGCAGCACAGAGAAGACATCTCTTCATCCCAGGAGGAAAGCCTGCAGCTGAACAGCATCCCACCTACACCCACCCTTACCTCCACAGCTGTGAAGAATAGGCAGCCCCTCGGGGCATTGGAAGAGGTGGAAGAAGAAGGTGGCTCAGAGTCAGAGTTTACCCGAGGGTGAGGGCTGAGAGGGAGAATCGGGGTGTCTGATTTCCTAGTTTGGTGTCTTGCCATCTCCATCTTGCTGTTTTTGTTCTGTTCTCCCCTGCAGCACTCCCTCATTCTTGGATCCTCCTCCAGTCCTTTTCAATTTTTTCAGCTCTACACTTTCTCTTTTTCCCTACACTCTGAGCTGTTCTCCCCTTTAATGTTCGCCACCTTATCTCTTCTTTTTATCCTTTATTTTTACATACCTGTCACTGATCCTATATCCGTCCCAACAGCCAGCTCCTTAGAGGCACCCAGAGGTCAAGGTTCTTGAGTCCACAGCATTTCCAGACTGCTCTCAACCGTTCAGGTCCTGGTCTGGGCAACCGGCTGACCCGGTGAGCTTTTCTCATTATCTTCTATCTTCACTTCAGATCTGTTACCCATGGTGAAGGGGTCCTCCCCTTATCCAGAGCTTCTGTGCTGATGCTTTGTGGAATTGTTTTAACCACAGAACACTTCTTTTAATGTAATATGGAACTCTAGTATGTAAAACTGTGATAAGAGTAGAGTTGCTGATTAAAGCAGGAGTGGGAACCTAGAGCCCTGCTGTACTTACTGCTCCCTGGGGTGCCTCTGAGAAATTCTCAGGAGTCTTTAAACAGCAGTTTGGAAACCTCTACTCTTTGCTACTGCCGTCAGACTCAGCCTTATGGAAGAGGATGAGGAAGAGTTAGAAATTCAGAACGAGTCAGGTGAAGAATGGCAAGATCCAGACAAGGTGAGTGGACCCAGCATTCCCTTCTCCCTCATATGAGATGCACATATGAGAAAGAGAAACTAGAATGGTTCTGCTCTATCAGTCCTGATGGTGCCTTTGTCCCCGAAAGATACATAGGACTTTTTAAAAGCATCACAGAGTAAAGGAGGGAGGTTTGAAGTTGCTTTGCATTATGCTGGGATTTTACTTTTATTAAAGAAATTTTAAAAATACCAGAAAGGACTGAAATAGCACTCCAAATAAGTATTTTGCCTCTGAATCTAAATTGAAAGGCGTTCTAGAGCTAGAGATGGAAGGTCCTTTAGCCTAGTCTTGCAGCCCATTCATTAAGTCTCTTCATAATGTATGCATGTACACAGACACATGGGCACCCTGCCTTCCCTCCTGTCTCTTTAGAGGGCTGTGCCAGTCCCTGTTCTTCCACTCACTCCCTTTTCTACTCCAGCATGACCGACTGTTTCCCCAGGAGGAAATGCTGCCAGTTGAGTAGGAAAAGCATGGAATTTGAGGTGACCTGAGAGTCCTCAATTCTACCACTTCATCAAACTAGCTCTTTAACCCCCTTAGCCTCTTCATCTTTAAAATGAAGCTTTTACACAAAATACAAAAGGAAAAAGAACAAAAAGGATTATAAATTGAAAAAGATTATGTGTCTGCTATTGCTGTCCTTCTGCTCCCTTCTCTTTGAGGGGAAGGAGAAGGGATGGAATAAAGCAGGAGAATGGAGATCTTATGTTCAGAAGGAAAAAAACAGACAATGACATCTTTAAACCAGAGACTAGCGAGCAAGGCCGAGATTAAAATTCTGTAGTCTCTCCTAAAGACCCCTCAAGAAAAATCCCATTCTCAGGTTCCAAAATGGAACAAATTTAAGGGACTCAGCATATCAGAAGAGGAGGTACTTCTCTGATAACTTTGGGAAGCCTAGGCTTGAACCTCCCTCCCACCCTGCCTTTGTTAATCTCCTCTCCCTGACTGCTTCAGGGACCTATTACAGCCCTTAAACTTGTTACTGGAAAAGGAACTTTGTGATTGTTCGCAATGTGATGGGAGTAGGGAAGGACCTTCCTGACTTTCAACCCCATTCTCTTTAGCACTCTTACCCCAGTGAGCCTGGATTGGACCTCTTGGATTCTACAGAGCTGAACTTTGAGGTGAGTGGCCCCAAAACAGGCAGTGGATGGCAGGGTAAGAGGAGATATGTATTCTTAGGATGTGCTGGCAGATAATTTGTGTACCTGCCAAATAGATGGAAAGAAACGCTACAGCCTGTGGCCTGCCTTCTCAGCTATGTCCAGAGCTTTAGGATTAGCCCTGGGAGGAGGGGAATTAGAACTGTCATCTGTAGGACCTTGCAATTGTCTCTTTGCCCTGTGGTCTGTTAATATCTGTGTTTGCCTTTCAACTTTTCTCAATACAGGACTTCTGACATGACTCAACGCCCCTACCCATCTCCACCCACCACCTCAACAGTATGATCACTTAGAAAAGGCAAACAGGAAAAGGAAGCAAAAGGAACCATTACTTCCACCCCCAGTCCTGGTCTCTGAGAGGAAGAGGAAGTGGGCTTCGCCTTTCTAATTTAATGTTTCTCTGATTATGTTGGCATAGAGAAGCCTTAAGCCCCATCATTCCTAATGCACCATGGCTCTGTTCCTCTGTATTTGAGCAGAGTGCCTATTTCCTGCTGTGTTTGGAGGGGTGGGGGCTTCATCTCAGTATTTGAGAGGGGCACTACTTTCCTGTGTTGAATTGAAAGAGCATAACAGTTTTCCTTTATTTTTGGAACATGTTTCCCACCTCTTTTGTGCCCTAGTGATTAGCTCAATAAACATGTTTGAGTCAGCTGGATCCCAGGTGTGGCTTGAGATTGTTAAACTGATGGGGATCAGGTCTTTGCTGATGTCTTAAATGGCCCTGCCCAGCCCCATAGCAGGGTGTGCAGGGGTGGCTCTGCACACACCCCAGGTGCTTATAGTATGCTGGCTCTCAGGGATCTGTTGCTTAGTGATTGAGACTGGGCGGGGCAGAGAAGTTAGGGAGAGACTGGCTGCCTTTGAGTAGTTTATCTATTGAGAATAGTTTAGGCTAAAGAGGAAAGGTAGTATTCTAATTGGTTAGAGGGTGGACCTGCCTGTCCCACCTACAACGGGACCAGGCCAGTCCAAACGTCTTGGCAGCCTTCACCTAAGGGTTCTTTCCAGGGGTGATTTTATGACCTCATTCCCCAAACACCTGTAATAATTTGAAATTTTATAGAATCTCAGTATCTGAGAGGTAGGTGGTAATTTAGAAGTTATTCTAAGTGTCCAACCCTAAAATGCAAGTCTTTGACATCATCTTCTCCTTCATTCTTGCCTTCCCCAGCTAGTTCTCACCAAGTCCTGTCAAGCCATTCTCCAAAATCTCTCTCTGAGCCGTCTCTCCTTTCATTACCACCTTCATCTCTCACTTAGGTTGTCATAAAATAATCTGTGGAAGCTGGCCTTCTTGAAACACTGACTTGTTTGATCTTACTCTGCTTTTTGGAGCAGCACAGACCTCTGCTCTCTCTTTTCCCTCTGACAAACAATCAAATATATGAAGACACTTATCACTTTCTACTTTAACTATTTTCCTTCATGGTTTAAGGAACCCTTTAGTCTCTCCTTTTAGATATGATTTCCAGTTCGTCCCTGTACTAGGCATCTGCTTTAAGTTCCAGTTTTCACTGTGGTCTTCCAGGCTGAAGACAGCCATCCAGCTAGTGGTCTCTGCAGAAGGAACCATGACTTCCTGCAGGTCACTCAGCCAAACCCATTTTTTCCTCCTTTCCCCTTCCTCCTAGATGAAAGCTAGAAGTTGGTTTGTGAGTCTCCTTTTGGGAAGGCAGCCTACCAGTACCCTAAGGGCAGCTGATACATTCAGAGATCTTTAGTCTGTGTTCAGGTGCAACGGCACCAGGAAAAGGAGCCTTTTCTATGGGATCTGGGAACAGTGGGAAAACAGAGGTGAAGATCACTGAGGACGCAGAAGGGGAAAGAATCCTGAGTTATTTAAATACCAACCAAGCTGAGAGTGCTTCACAAGATCAAAAGAGAAACTTGGAAGCTCTATAAATGTTGGCAATATGTATGCAGCCAGACAGCCCAGTGTAGTGGATTGAGCTCCAACCTTAGAATCTATGCAAGTGTTATGCCATGCTCCCCAGATTCTTTACCACTCTCTGCTGAGACGTTGGGTTCTAGGTCCTCTCCCCTTGAATGTGGGCTCTGTGATTGCTTAATAGAATATGACTGTGTGATGCTATGCCAGTTTCCAAGCCCAGACCTTAAACTGGCAGCTTCCACATAATTACTCTTGGAACCTAGTCACCGTTCTGTGAAAAAAGCTATGCATAAGTGTTAAGTCAACAGCTCTAGCTGAGGTCCCAGACTACTTCTAGCATTAACCACCACACATGGTTCAGATATAAGTCAAATGATTCCAACACCCAGCTTTTGTCTTCTGGCTGAGTTCCCAGGCATCAGGGAGCAGAGACAAGCCACCTTTCTGTGCCTTTTCCAAATTCCTGATGCACAGAATCCATGAGCATGGTAAAAGGGTGGTGGCTACACCACTTAAGTTTGTGGTGGCTTGTTATGTAACACTAAACTGAAACGGAACCTTAGAGTCTTTTTTTTAATCTTTTTTTAAAGATTTTATTTATTTTTAGAGAGGGGGGAGAGAGAGAGAGAGAGACATCAATGTGCGGTTGCTGGAGGTCATGGCATGCAACCCAGGCATGTACCCTAACTGGGAATCAAACCTGCGACACTTTGGTTCGCAGCCTGCACTCAATCCACTGAGCTATGCCAGCCAGGGTGGAACCTTAGAGTCTTAAGACTCCAAATGTGTGGGCATCTTCATCAGTTAAAAAAATTTTATGTGTTATATAAACATGTTACTTAAACATTTGCTTCTACATATTAAAATACAATGGATGAGTTAGTGATGAAGTAAATGTTTCTAAATACTTGATTGGTTAATAGTACAATACACTTTTTTGCACTAAAAACATCGTAGTGAGAGCAAAGTGAGAAACATTTTTTAAATCATAACTTAATATTTCTTTTTTTTTCTTAATTCTCACCTGAGGAGGTATATATTGATTGCAGAGAGAGAGATAGAGAAACATCCATCAGTCGCCTCCCATATGTGCCCTGACCGGGGATTGAACCCGAAATCTAGGTATGTGCCTTGACTGGGAATCAAACCCGCAACGTTTTGGGTCTACGGGATGATGCTCCAACCAACTGAGCTACCTGGCCAGGGCCAGAGCTTAACATTTTTGAGTATAGCTGAAACTTGACTTTAGCTTAATAGTTTCAGTGGCCTTCATATCTGAAAAGAGTATGTCTCAAAAACATGTAAATCCAAATGGAATCGGTTCTGCTTTGGCTGCATTTACTACTTTAATAGATGAGCTCAAATCCACCGAAATTACTCATTTAGAAGACTTGTAACAGGTCATAAAATTATTTCCAACAGCAAATAACAGTATCACCCATTGTTTGGGACCACAGAACTGCTACATCCTGTAGCATATAAATTACAGTCCATCATAATAGGCTGTGGGTTTCCCTCTATCTTAGGTTACTGATCTTATTAGAGGTGAACCATGACATTTGGATCTCAGTGAGGGCACCAATGTCACTTAATAGTAATAAAACTTCATTGTATTTTTATCTTTAAAAATTAAAAATGTTAATCATTTTTTCTGCATGACACCAGTGAATGTTTTGTATACCACCTGTGGGACACACACCCCATCTTGACAACCACAGCTCAGAGGATTTTGTGCCATAAGCTCCTTGCCAGCAGAGGTCGATCTGTGGGCTTCAAGAGCTGTTCCAGTGGGTTAGGCCCCGCCAGGCTGGAACTGCAGCAGAGGTCAGCTCAGGCAGGAGAGGTGGGGGCCTCCACACAGGCTGAAGCTCACCGGGGTTGATAAATGATACTAAGTAGTGCTTTTCAGGAGTGTCACTGCTGTGCATTGCCTGTTAGCTTACTACTGAATAGTTGCTTTTAAAGTCATTTTAAACATGGCTTTTTCAACTCTGGTTGTGGCCATGAACTCTTGACAGAAAGTGAGTTGTTTGTAGTCTCTCCTAAATTATAAAGTGAAGGGTTTTTTTTTCCCTCCCAAATTGCTGAAAAAAGTCTTTAGCTAATAAGTAAGCCACCATCCTTTGAACTCTAAGCAACACTGACTCCGAGGGGTTACAAGATGAAAGAAGAATTTGTATTTGGTTGGCCTGAAAGGATGAGGTGGTGGAAAAGTCTTTGCTGAGCTCTGTAGTTGTTTGCCTGGGAATAGGGTAGAATGTTGTGATCCTTGAGAGGATACATAAAACAAGTCTTAAGCACAGATTCACTGAAAACCCTAACTATGCGTTGAGTTGGAATTGCCAAAAGAGTGGGCACTAAAGACTGAAGTCAGGATGGAGCTGAGAAATAGAAGAATGGCAAACCCACTGAAATGAATCCCAGGAAACTAAAGAAGACCTCTAGTAGGTAGAGGAGCCTAGAATCCTGGGGAAACTTGAAGGAAATTATGTAATTTGATAAAGTAGATTAGAACGAGCAACGGGACTGAGTGGTATAATGGAAGCTGAAAAATACAGCATTTTGTGTGACTGCAGTGGCCTCTCGCATTAGAGGATGGGCAGGCAGCCCAGTCTAGGAATTCTGCACAGGTCCCCACTGATGGGGTGGAGGGCTGCCTTTTTTTTTTAAGATTTTATTTACTTATTTTTAGAGAGGGGAAGGGGGGGAGAGAGAGAGAGAGAGAAACATCAATGTGCGGTTGCTGGGGGCCATGGCCTGCAACCCGGCATGTGCCTTGACTGGGAATCGAACCTGCGATGCCTGGTTCGCAGCCCAAGCTCAATCCACTGAGCTACACCAGCCAGGGCAGGACTACCATTTTTTGACAAAAACCTTATAATTCAATTTAAATTTTTGAACTATGTGTAGGAAAGGCAGCTCAGCATAATCAGTAGTGTGGGTTCTAGAGCCAAAGTTTTTGTCAGAGTTCAAATCTGAGCTTCACTGTGTACTAGCCTCATGACCCTGGGCAAGTTACTTCCTCATCAGATAATTGTAAGTGTGGAATCACTCACAACAAATTTAGCACATAGTATATATTAGATGTTACATCTTAGTTTTTATATTACTTTAATGCTGGAACACAAGTGACTTCTTCACAACATTGAAAATATATGTGAAAACTATATGGAGCAGTTATGTGTCTCACTCTGCAAACTCATGAGGAATATCTTATATAAAGGGATGGTCACCAGTACTCACTGAGGGCCAGAGCCAGGTGTGAACAAAGTACCACACATACATGATTACTCTCAAGTACATTGTGAAGCAGAGTCAATTCCTATGGAGATACTGCTTCTCCGGGAGATGAAGTCACTTTGCCTAAGCTTGCAGAACTAGGAAATTGTGGTGCCAGTTCAACCCTTCTGGGCCTCATTCTAGAGACTGACCACAAGGGCTATTTTCACGGCAGCTAGATTCGGGCTATGGCTGTATGGATGTCACCAAGAGGTGTTAGGGCAGGAAGTGGCTGTTACCAGATTTGTGTCCCCTAACTTGTACCTCCAGGCCCAAGAGGGAAGATGTGGACAACACAGACCTGATGATTCGGGCTTATGCTGCTAGATTTAATGACCTGTTGGGTCTCTGAAGCTCCAAACTCTGGAGACTGTTCAGGGATAGCCAAGAACAAGGGCCCTAACATGTATCAAAATATAAAAAGCATGCTACTTAGGGCCATGTGGTAATGAGACACATGTGGTAATCCAGAAGTATATCCATTTGTAAGAATTTATGATCAAGATGGCATTTTGGGACAGTAGGGAAAGGGACTACTATTCAATAAACGGGTAGGGGACTTCTGGCTCTCTACCTACAATGTCACACTGTTTTACACCCCCCGCCCACACCCCTGACCCATTAAAATTCTTCATGGGACTAAAAATAAACCCTCAGTTAAGAATAAAACCAAAACTATAAAATTATGTTTAGAAGTTGGCCTTTCTAAGCAGTATACAAAATTCAGATATGATGAAAGCTTGATGACAGTTTAAACTTCATGATAATTAAATTAAGGAGGGGAATGTGAATGAACAGAAAGGTGAAGGAGAATTTTGGTGTTTTCCAGTCTATGTTGTTTCAATTTTATACAATTAGAACTTACTGAGGGGACAACGTGGCTTACAGGTGGAAACAATGGAAAATGTTGGTGAGTAATTAACTTTGTACTATGGCTTTTAATCCATTGATCACCAAGAATTGAGCTCCCTTAGGTACTTGGACTGTGTGGGGGTTGAAGAGCCACCACTAGAGCCTGCCATCTGTGAGATGACTGTCCAAGAAGGCAATGTTCTCTTGGGGACAGCTTCCTGGAGGTGGTAGAATTTGAGCTGGGCCTTGCAGAATAGGATTTCAGGGGTGAGAGACCATGATCTTCCAGGCAAGGGAGGTAGAGGTTGGCGGCAGCCTCTGGTGCCCCACACTGGGCTGAGGCACCTTAAAGTGCATCAGCTCTGCACAGGTCTTCCACCCTGTCCCAGAAAAGTAGTGGAGGAAATGGTGAGAACAGGTCTGAGTCAGATTTGGAGATTGAAATGTCAGTCCTTAGAGGTCAAAGGTTTAAGAGAATGTTAACTGGGCTGGGGCCCTCCTTACTGCCATCTGAGGTGTGAATGGGGTGACAGATTCACTGGAGAGACTGATTTGGTTTGTGGCCAACAACACAGGATTAAACAGATGCTGAACCAGGCAGGTGGGCAAACCAGAAATGCGACCACATTCCTGAGGCAGGGCCACCTCTCGTTTCTCGCCACACAGTGGACAAGAGAGTCCTCAACAACCCCCTTAGCTCTAACCCTGAGCTCACCAAGTTACTATCGTCCCAGAGTCAAGTTCGGCACAAGACAGAATGCAAAGCATGTCACTGCTTATACAGCAGCATTCTCTAATCAACCATAAACCGAGAAGCAATTTGGAGCAACACTTTGCAGAAAAAGTGGCCTGAGTCAGGGAGGTGGCAGTAGGAGTGACAAGAAATCAGGTGGCCACGAAGCAAAGCCCTCAGGATTTCCTGATGGGATGGAGATGAAAGAAAAGTCACAGATGACTATGCTTTTGGCCTGTGCAGTTGGAAGCCAGTGGCCCTCAACGGTGGAGAGGGGGTGGGCTGCAGATGAGGCAGAGTTCAGTCTGGGGCTTGCTTGTGTTGTTGGGGGGGAGAGGGAGGTCTGAGCCAGAGACTTAAATGTGGGACAGGCTGGCATATAGACAGTGAGGACACCCACTTCAGGTGTCCTCAGTGGATACGTGATCGATCAAGCTGGGCTTAGCTCTTAGGTAGCCCCTGCTGCTTACGGGTCTTTCTCTTCCCATGTTCCTCCACATTCCCTACCTCTTAGTGGGGAGGGTCTGGGTCAGAGCCTTCTTTCTAAGGAGAAATAAGGGTTCCCTCCCTCCTGAGTGAAGGAGATTCTTTTCAGGTCCCTTTGCAGTGTTCTTCCCTTCCCAACCCCTCACCTGTCCCCAGGGCCTGCCCTGCTGAGGTGGTTACCCACAGACAGGGCTGGTAAAGAAATCTGAGCCACCCGACCTGCTCACACTAAAGCACAACACGGGGACAGGAAAAACCTTGTCGCTGTCACTTTAAGTGTCCTTAGGGAGGGGGGTTCATGGCCCTGTGTTCACCAGCTGAGGTCAGAGAAGGAAGTGGATCTGGGTTGCAGAGAACACAGCCCAGCTGCCCCTGGGCCTGCTCACACATGAAAACTTCCTGCGATGAGAGCGGAAACAGGTGCCATCATCACCATGACAGCCCCCAGAGCCTGGGCCAGAGGGGAGCCATGGACAAGCCCCGGGCTCTGGTCCTGCTCTTGGCACTGCTGACACTCTGCATCACTGCTGGTGAGTGGGAAGGCCAGAGAAAGACACAGGCCATGGGGATGTGCTGGAGACTCCGCCTTATGCCCTTCCTATGTCTGCATCCCACAGGGACACCTGAGGTGTGGGTACAAGTTCAGATGGCCACCAGGTCCCCATCTTTCACTGTTCGCTGTGGATTCCTGGGATCTAGCATTATATCCCAGGTAACTGTGAGCTCCGGGGGGCCTGATGGTGCTGGAGGAACCAAGCTGGCTGTCTTGAACCCAGAATTTGGCACCAAGAAGTGGCCCCCTGCCTACCAGGCCCACTGGGAAACTAAAACCAGCATCTCCCTCACCCTGGAAGAGTCTGATGGGAGAAGCCCCAGTCCTAACACCACCTTCTGCTGCAAGTTTACTTCCTTTCCTGAGGGCTCCCAGGAGGCCTGTGGGAACCTCCTCCTCGGCACCGACCAAGGTAGGGCTCATGAGGAGCAGGGCCCAGGGAGGGCAGGGAGGAGATTGGGACACCAGCTGCCAATCTAGTATGTCTCTCTTTGTGCACAGAGCTTCCTGCCCTTACTCCAGCCCCTGTTCTGCGAGCTGACCTGGCTGGGATCTTGGGGGTCTCAGGGATCCTCCTCTTTGGCTGTATCTACCTTCTCTACCTGCTGCATCGGCAGAAGCACCGGTGAGATCTAGCCCCGGCCAGGCCCAGTCTAAACCCTTACATCACAGGGCCAGCCACATGCTTTGTTTCTGACCCTCCTAACTCTCTTCCAGGTCTGTCATGAAGCTTCAGCCACCCCTCAGCAGCCTCCCAACACAGACACGAGCAAGGGTGAGGATCAGGGATGGCTTTGGAGCAGGGAACTAGGTGGGCTGGAGCTGGGGCCATGATGTGGAACCTCACTTGGGCCTTTTTCCCCATTACCCATGCAGGCCGCCAGCCAAGCTTCCCTGGCTTCTCTCCACATCCCCTATGCCACCATCACCACCAACTACTTCTGCCCGGCAGATCTGGACACGGTCCTTCCACCCCAGCCATTGTCCAGGTGGGCGCCGATCCCCACCCACACAACACACCCGCCTGCCCCCTGGACACCTCTGCCAGCCTCTGCTTGCAGCAGTTTCATCTCCGTTGAGAATGGACTCTATGTTCAGTCAGGAGAGAGGCCTCCCCACATCCGTTCCAACCTCATCCCTTTCTCTGACCCTCGGGGGCCCAGAGCTAGGGAGGGACATATAAGAGTTCAATGAGAGGGGCCCCAAGTCTACTCAGCCTTCCTCACCTCCCAGGCCTCTGGGACCCCCTTCCATTGGTGTTTGCACATCTTATTAGGCCTCTAATTAGTGTTTCCACACCCACCCAGCCAGGGCCCACTTGCTGTGGATGTGGTCAGCGTATGTGCTCGTGTGGGTTACCTGTGGGCACGTGTGTGTATGAAAGGTGACAAAACCCATGCCAGGTCGTTTCCTGTTTTCAAGTACTCAGCCCTCCCAGGCAATGTCAGTAACTAAGTTAACAGAAACAGTTTATTTGACTGAGGTCTTGGCTGGGCCTTTTCTTCTTTGGGAACTTAAGAGGTTAGAGGTATTTTCGACCGCTGGCAGGTAGGAGCCAGGTTGGAATCAGAGGAGGCAGGGCGCCAGTACAGGACAATTTCCCTGCCCTGACCCCTCCCAGACAAGGGGTCCCTGGGGCTGGGGTTGCCGTGTCAGGCAGGGGACTCCTGGCCCTACAGGCCTTGCTGAGGGACACCAGGTGAGATTGACAGGACTGGCGGTCCGATGGCCGCAGGCAGGATAGTCCATATTCAAACCCCACCATGTCCTAGGACAGCACAAGGGCTTCTGGGGCTTCAACTTGAGATAAGACCTTGTGGTTTGACTTAGTGTCCCTATAACAGGGCTCCCTGGGATGGCCTGGGGGTGAGCTCTGATGTCCCCCATCCAGAGCTGACACTCAGAGGCAGGGCACCTACCTCATATCTGCCCACAGTGGCTTCCTTTTGCTACCCCTGTGTCACTAGGGAACCAGGACTACTCCCCACTGGCCACTAGCAGACAGGCGCACTTGACACAGGGACTGAACTCACGCTCCCCTGCCCATTAATCTTCCCGTCCAGGATGCAGCTCTCCTTCTGTAAACAGACGTAGCAGTCTGGGCCCCATCACACATCTGCCACATAAGACAACGTGTGAGAGAGCTCTGTAAGCTGAGAGGCTCCACAGGAATGTGGGGGATTCCATGAAGTGTGGGGAGACAGTGGAGCTCTGGAGCCAGGCTGAGCCTGCACTTCCAACCAGGGTGAATCCTAGTTCAGGGGCATACCTGCCACTTAGCCCCTTCCTTGGTCCTACATACGGGAAATCCCATGTAGAACCAGTTGCCAAAGCAGGAACCACCCTTTGTGCTTCTGCCTGTCTCAGGGAGGGCCTGCCTGGAGACCATGTTCAACCACAGAATCTTCTAGAAAACCAGCTTACTATTCCAGTTGTGCTCAAAAGAGGCCTTCTCAGAACCCAGGCCCATCCAGCCACCAACTCCACACTCTGCTGGGGAGAAGGTGGACCAGACATGGTGAGGGGGTGGTGAAGGGGTTATTGGGCCTGCCTCCCTCAGCCAGTGATCATCCTCCTCTGAGGAGGAGCCCCTGGCACTTGCCTAGACAGCTCAGTGGTCCCTGCAGGGCTGGGGGTCTAAAGGAGAGGGGAGGGGTTGCTGTGGAAGTCCCTACGGAGGGCGAGAAAGATGTCAGTGGGGGAGGAAGTAGCTGAGGGCCCAGCCACTTTGGAACCATGTCAAGACCAGGGACAGGGGTCGGGGGGACAGTGGGGCTTGCAGGGTCTCAGGGAGGCCTTAGGAGGTTTACTTCTCTAGGAAGGGAAGTACCATTCATGGGACAAGGGGAGCTCTGAGGAGTCCCCAGCCCCTAGCCCAGCTGCCAGCCAGGTTACTTGCCTCTAAGGGAGTTGAGGGAGAGGTCCTCTGGCCTGAGCTGGTCTTCCACAAACAAGCTCAGGAGGCCACAGCCCAGCCTGGTCTTGGTGGTACGCAGAACCAATATCCTGGAGATGAAGGGAATCTCTGCAGCTGGTCTGCTCCCCAGTGTCCACCCCCAAGTGCCAGACCCAGCAGTGCCGAGGGGAGCAGCTGAGAGGACCATCTTGTGGCTCTACATTTGTGGGTATGTGGCTGGACACAGCCTGGGGGATCAGGCAGTCCGGGCCCCCTTCTCAGACCCAGTCTGGGAGATCGTGCTCACATTCATTCAACAAGTGTAGAAACTGGGACCCGAAAGAGGACTTGCTCAAGTAGACAGAACTGAATCAGCCCCAGGACATCCACAGACAGGCATCCAGGTTGTGCCCTCACACATAACCCAAGAGAAGGCTTGTGCTTTGAACTTGCCCTGGGTTTGATCCCAAGGGCTACTTACTCCCTGGCTGTGGGACCCAGAGGACTTAGCTTCTGCGAGGCTCACTTGCTCATCTGGCAAGTAGTAAGGGTGATAAGGCCTGAAGGGAGTGGAGACTGTGCAGTAGGGCCCAGTACCAAGCAGCTCTGCCTGGGGTATCTTATTTGGGACTTCAGCAACCCCAAGGGGAAGGTAGTAGGTATTTTCAATAGTATATTTAACAGATGTGGAGCCTGAGCCCAGGGTCACAGACTGGAAGAAAGAGGTGCTCGTAGCAGTGGGGGAAGAGGAGGCCTGGGACTTCCCACCTGGCCCTGGACACATTTGCTGCCCCAAACTCCACCTTGCTGGGGCGGTGGGGAGAGGTCAGAGCGCATTGGTGGGTACCCATGGAGGCCCCAGGCATTTGGGATCGGACGAGTTAGCCCTGCGACGACACCTGCTGCCCAATGGTGCGGCTGCCCCCGAGGGTTGCTGGGAGGTACTTCTGCAGAAGACACTAGCCCTGCCGGAGAGAATAGGATCCTTGGAGGCGTCTTGGGGTCGCACAGGGTTGTGGCCCACTGGCAACTGCGACCCTCACCCCCTCCGCAGCCCACCCCTGTCCAGCAGCACGCTGGGTGGAACCCCTGACCACCTCCACCAGTGGTCAGCTGATCCCCCAAACCCCACCCAACCTCACTGTGGTCCAGCAGTGGGTCCCAGAATCTGTCTGCCCTGACGATCTGCCCCTCAGCAACCACAGAGCCCTCCTTCCATGGCCCAGCCCTAACTACTCTCGGGCTCGTCCCCACTTCCAGCCCGCCGCAGCCCTCCTCCCTACCCATGTCCCGCCACCTGTCCCGGGAGCTCACTCCTGGTCCCTTCATTTCATCTCCTTTAGTGCCTTCCCTCCTCTCCCCCCCACCACCCCCTGCCTCCTCTGTTCGCCCCCAACATCCATGTGGCCCACTGCTCCTTCTGATCCCTGCTGTCCAGCTACTCTTGGCTCTGAACCCCCAGCTGCCACTGCCCTGTCTGGACTCCTAGGAGGCCAGTCAAGGTGCCCGGCAGTGGAACTCCCCCTCCCTGAGGTCCTCTGGGAACCTGCTGTTAAGAACCCCACACCCACCCACCGGGGGAGGGTGGTAGTGGTGGGTGACCACGGGCCACCAGTTTGCTGGGGAGCCTCATACCCTTGCCAGGTACGCTGTAGAACACTGGTCCACGTTGTGACCTAGCTCCCAGCCCGTGCTGGGCACCCACCCACCTCGAGCTGAGGTGGCCAAGAGACTGCAACAGTGAATGGCATGGACCTGGGACCTGGAAAGAAGGAATCAGACAGAGAGGTGTCAGGGCTTAGCCAGCAAGACAAGACCCTGGCCAGCATGAAGCAGGGGCTGAAAGGGACAGAGTTGAGCTAAGAGAGCCTCCTCTTCTCTGGACCTCTCTGAGACCCCATAGAGGAGTATCTCCCCAAAAAGAAACCACAGACTCTACCCCCATTTTCAGCACAGGGATGCACAAATGCAGAGGATACTGTATTAATAGATCTGTTGGCCTGGCCATGGGCAGGGGAAGCTCTCCAACTTCAAAACTGCTGATGTGGCCAGTGACATCTGGAATTTCCATAGCTGGGTCCTTAAATAGTTTCATTTCAGCATCTGTGAAATGAGTCAGCTCACTTGGAAAGCTGGGCTGTTTGGAGAAAAGTAAATAAACTAACATTACAAATGTTAAAATATCGGGGTGCTTTGAGAAGGTGCTCCAAGTAGACATTTAAAATAAAATCTGAAGGTAAGTGGGAGTTGTGTAGGCAACAATCGTGGGGAGACCCTTCCAGGCAGGGAAAGACAGACAAAGGCCCTGAGGCTGAAAAGAGCTGGGCATTGCAGGGGCCCAAAGCAGCTCAGTATGTTTGAAATAAGGTGAGTGAGAGCAGCAGGCAAAGCTGACAGAAGGGGTCAGGATTTTTTTTTAAAGATTTTATTTATTTTTAGAGATGGAAAGGGAGGGAGAAAGAGAAGGAAGAAACATCAATGTGCGGTTGCCTCTTGGGTGCCCCCTGCTGGGGACCTGGCCTGCAACCCAGGCTTCTGCCCTGACTGGGAATCGAACTAGCCACCCTTTTGTTCGCAGGCTGGCACTCAGTCCACTGAACCACACCAGCCAGGGTGAGATCAGGATTTTATTATAAGGATATTATTATAAAATCCAGGGTTGGTTTTAAGTAGAGCAATAAAATAATCAGATTTACATTATTAAAAACAAAAAGACCTATCTGGGTAAAAAACACCTGTGTGGGAGGCAGGGCAGAAAAGTGGAAGTAGGAACAATTGAATCATCCAGATGGAAGATGGGGGTACCTGAGTCAAGGATGGTGGAATATAAATAGAAAGAAATGGATGGATTCAAAATATGTTTTGGAGGCAGAGTTGTCCCTCATTGCTGAGAGGGGATCAAGGATGGTCTCAAGGGTGATGCTGTTTTTCAGCTTGAGCGACTAGGTAGAAGAAATGCCATTCACTGAGATGGAAGGTGGATAGGAGCATGTTCCAGGGAATGGGTGACAATCAAGGAACCAACAAGAGACAGATGAAGTTGAGATGCTTGAGACACAGGCAAGGTGGGGGCATATCGACCTGCCCCCACCTAGATCCCAGACCTTGTCTTACGAAGGGGCAAGATCTATATACAAAATATTGATGAGAGAAATCAAAAGTTATAAATAGAGAAGTATGACATATTTATAGATTGGAAGGCTCATTGTTAGGAGTCCAATTCTTCCCAAATGTACAATATGTACAGAATCAATGCCTTCTTAATAAAAATCCTACCAGACTTCTTTGTAGAAATTTGCCAGCAGATTATAAAACTTACAGGGAAAACCAAAAGTACCTACTGCAGACAAAACAAAACAATTTTGAAAAAGAACAAAGTTGGAAAACTCATACTATTGGCTTCAAAACTTACATAAAAGACTTCCAAAGGTTTGGGGAGATGTAAGCCAAGAAATGTAGATGAAGACCAAGTATACCTGGCAAATGTATTTTGGTCATCCGAATGACTATATGTATATTTTTTAATGTTCTCTTTTGAAATCATTTTTATTTTTTAATTATAGTTGACATACAATATTACATTGGTTTCAGGTGTACAACATATTGATTAGACAGTTATGTGACTTACAAAGTGATCACCCCAGTAAGTCTCATACCCACCTGACACCATGCACAGTTATCACAGTATTATTGACTATATTCCCCATGCTGTACCTTACATCCTTGTGATAGTTTTGTAACTGGCAATTTTCACATCTTAATCCTTTCCCCCCTTTCACCCATCCTTCGAAACCCCTCCCACCTGGAAATCATCAAAATGTTCTCTGAATCTATGAATGGAATGTTTATGTTTGTTCATTTTGTCTTGTTTTTTTTTAATTTCACATGTAAGTGAAATCAGATGGCATTTGTCCTTCTCTCTCTGACCCACTTCACTATTGTAATACCTTCTAGGTCTATTCATATTGTTGTAGATGGCAACATTTCATTATGGCTGAGTAATATTCCATTGCATATATGGACCACCTCTTATTTATCCACTCATCCATCTATGGATACTTAGATTGTTTCTATATCTTGGCCATTGTAAACACTGCTGCAGTGAATATAGGGATGCATATGCCTTTTTGAATTAGTGTTTTGGATTTCTTTGGACAAATACCCAGAAGTGGAATTGCTAGGTTCTTCTTTGTCTCTTGTTAAGGCCTTTGTTTTAAAGTCTCTTTTGTCTAAGTATTGCTACCCCAGCTTTTTGTTTGTTTGTTTCCATGTGTATGAAATATCTTTCTATCCCTTTACTTTCAGTGTGTGTGTCTTTTAGTCTGAAGTGGGTCCCTTCTTCTTTTTTTCTTATGTTTTTAAAGATTTTTATTAGTTTAATTTCAATCAAGTGAGAATACATGCCAGGGAGCAATAAATCAAATGCTCTAAAGTGGGTCTCTTGGAGGCAGCATTTGTATGGGTCTTGTGTGTTATCCATTCAGCTACCCTGTGTCTTTTGATTGGAACACTTAATCAATTTACATTTAAAGTAATTATTGATAAGTAAGTAGTTATTGCCATTTTACTATTCATATATTCTTATTTTTCTTAAAAGAAGACCTTTTAACATTGCTTGTAATACTGGTTTGGTGGTAATGAACTCCTTTAGCTTTTTCTAGTCTGGGAAGCTTTTTATTTGTTCTTTGATTCTAGATTACAGCTTTGCTGGATAGAGTAATCTTAGTCATAGTTCCTTGCTTTTCATCATTTTAAACATGTTGTGCCAATCCCTCTGGCCTGCAAAGTTTCTGTCAAGAAATCAGTCTTATGGGAGCTCACTTGTAAGTAAATAATTGTTTTTCTCTTACTGCTTTTAAGATTCTCTTTGTCTTTAACCTTTGGCATTTTAAATATGACGTATCTTGGTGTGGGCCTCTTTGGGTTCATCTCATCTGGAACTATCTGTGCTTCATAAACTTCTATGACCATGTCCTTCACTGGGTTAGGGAAATTTTCTGACATTATTTCCTCAAACAGGTTTTCAATCCTTTGCTCTCTCTCTTTCTGGTACCCCTATAATATGAATGTTGTTATGCTTGATGTTGTCCCAGAAGCCCCTTAAACTATCTTCATTTTTTAAAAATTATTTTTCTTTTTGAAGTTTTCACTGGGTGTTTTTGGCTGCCTTATCTTCAAAAATTTCTGATTCAATACTCTGCTTCATCTAATCTGCTGTTGACTTTCACTAAGGATTCTTCATTTCAGTTATACTTTTCATTTCTGACTGGTTCCTTTTTATGTGTTTTTATCTCCATTTTATGTTTTCTACCTCTATTAAAAGTTCTCACCTGAATTCATCTATTCTCCCCTTAAGTTCACTGAGCATTCTTATAACCAGTGTTTTGAACTTTGCATCTGGTATATTATTTATTTCCACTTTGTTTTCTATTTTTTTCAGTTGGAGCATGTTTCTTTGTCTGCTCATTCTGGCTGCCTTCCTGTGTTTATTTCTATGTATTGGATAGAGCTGCTACATCTCCCCATCTCGGTAGAGTAGCCTTAATGTAATAGGTGTCCTTGGGACCCCAGTCTCCCTAGTCACCTTTTCATCCCTCAGTGGCATGTCCCCAGCAGGTCCTCAGGAAACCAGGCTCCTGTCAGTGCTGACACAGCCCCATATTGTCCCAAAGCCACAGCATTTCCCCCCCCGGCACCCTAAGGACACCAACCTCCTTCACATGCAGAAGAAGCCAAGTTCATGGGAAGAATTTATATCTCTTATCAATCACGTATCACAAGAGTAAAAGTCAAGTTATTAATGAATGTACCCTAGAAGATACTCTTCATACCTCATCTAGTCCCCAAGGACCAAACATAATGATTGAGCTTTAACAGGCCTCCAACTCCCCAGTGATAAGAGACAAACATGAGCCAGAGCAAAATGGAGATCAGATGAGACTTCTGCACAAAGCCAGGACCCCTAAAACACTAAACCCTCAGATAGTGAGCTAGAAGAAAAAGAAGAGGAGGTGGTGGGGTTGAAAGAATGAAAAATATCTCCCAAGAGCATCCCTAACCACTCATAACACTCTTGAGGGTTTAGACCAGAATTCACAGTGCCTATGAGGCTTGGAAAATACAAAGCCAACAATGTCATTTAATGTGACCCTCTAGTGGGTAGCATACCTGACCTAGCAGATGTAGACACAGATCTCCTCTGGAGAAAGACTCTTAGATCTAGGCCTCACAGAATTCCCACAGATTAAGTTCCAAGCAATGAAATAGCAATTTAAAAAAATCATCAAGTACAGTCTTGGCTGGTGTGGCTCAGTGGATTGAGTGCCAGC